TTGTACCTTTTACATGCTGTGTAAAAAATACACATTTACATTTTCTTGTGGACAAGAAATCATGCTTCCCTCAGTACACAAATGCCAAAGAAAACAAAGAAGTGCCCAGAAGGATTGAAGACATATTTCATCATTATTTTACATACAAAGCCAACCAATTGAGCACAAAAGCACACGTATAGCTAGGCTTGCCATTAAATGCTGCTTACAGCAGCAGAACTATTCGAATTTAAGGCATTTATTTAAAAAAAACTGCAAAAACAAAATAATAATAATAATCTTCAATTGGATAATTAAGCTAATCATTCCTTATCTTTAAATAAATTAATATACAAAGCTTAATATTTATAAGCTTGACACTAACTTTATATATGGCTTTAAGCTTTTAAGATTTCAGGAGCTCAATTTAAGACCATGTTTCATTTCACGGCCAGTTCAGTTCTTAAAAAGGAGGTCAATATAACCCTTTAAAAAAGAAATGGAAAAAGTCACAGATGACAGGAGGAAAGAGCTATTTTGAGGCATTCTTTACAAATGAACATTCCAGCACATTCAAAAGATTTACTAAAATATATAAATATATTTATATATATATATACTATATACACTTTAAAAGCAAAATATAATCTAAAGTACCTAAAGTATCTGAATGCTTTACAGCAATAATTTACGTATTTCTTTAAATTAAACTTGAAAAACATTTCCACCATGTATAATTTAAATTTATCTGTGGCTCAATATTGATAGTACAGTACATCATTTTCAGCAGTCATCATGCAAGTCATACAAACAGAATGAGAAAGCAAGACTTGTTGACATCCTGCTTGATTATCTGATGCTGTCAGACCTTTTGCTATTTGACAAAAATGAAAAAAGGTGCATAATCTGAAATGTTCAAGGGAACGTTCACCATAAACTGAAAATGTACCCATCATTTACTCACCCTCCAGTCTCTTTATGTTATACTGTTTTTTTAAACAAAAGAAAGAAATATTTGGAAGAATTGGAGGATGAGTAAATGATGACAGATTTCAAATATTTAGGTAAACTGTCCCTTTAAGTCAGGGGTGTCCAAACTCAGTCCTGGAGGGCCAGTGTCCTGAAGAGTTTAGCTCCAACCCTAATCAAACACATCTAAACCAGCTCATCAAGCTCTTACTAGATATATTACAAACTTTCTGGCAGGTGTGTTGAAGTTGGAGCTAAACTCAGCAGGACACCAGCCCTCCAGGACCGAGTTTGGACCCCTCTCCCCACACACACACACACACACACACTTTAAGCTTTAGCTTTTTTTAAGTTAAGGGTGTAAGACTCTCTCAAAGGTCTAAATCTCTCTTAAAAGTCTAAATTAAACAGCTGCAATGTAGTAAAACCATAAACCAGATTTAAAGCGATCAACACCAATAACAAAAATTCAACTTTTATTTGCTTAAAATATCTGTTCTCTATGGCCCTGTTTACCACTGGTATTGAAAGGATAGTTCACCAAACAATTACAATTTCCTGAACATGTACTCATACTCAAGTGGTTCTAAACTTGATATGAATTTCTTTCGACTCTTGAACACAAAATGAAATCAATGAACACTTGAAATCAATGGCTGTTTTTTCTCAACATTCTTTAGCATTTCTTGCTTTGTGTTCAACAGGAGGAAAGGAACTCAAACTGGTTTGGAACAAGTGAAGGGTGAGTAAATGATGACAGAATTTTTGATTTTGGGTCAGCTATCTCTTTAAGAGGATTTTTGTCGATCTCATCACAAGTCAAAATTCAAAACAAGTGAGCACGGTCAACCAGAGGTAGTTGATAATGCAATAGACATCATAATGATAATGCTCATGTGGTCAATTGCACTTTCAAAAACCACAAAAATAAACATGCTCTCTGACTGCTGACCTAATTCTTCAATATTACCTATCATGAAGTTGAAGTGCACTAGCCAAGTGGGATTTATACATCGCTGTCTGGAAGTGTAAAACTATATTCTTACTGGTACTGTTTGCAGCTATCAGAGCATATATGAAATGGTTGCTCTCTATTTGTTTTCTCTTGTGTTTAGTGTTGAGTTGCTAACCCTGGCTCACACTATGATTATGGCCATGATTTGGTTGTCTGAGACAAATTTTAGAAATGCTAGAAAATACTGTAATTGTTGGCTAAAATCTATAATCTCTGGTTGAGTTGACATGTTCACCAATAGCCGATTAACGGTTGTAGCAACCAAATTTCTCCTAAGATTTTGGACACTTTCCTGCAGGCTTGTCTTATGACAACATTAAACCAAAAACCAATAGGAGCGCTGAACCTCATGATGCAATCAGAGTGATGACTTCAAACCACTCAAGGTAATGTCAAAAATGTTGCTGTTCTTCCCTCTGATTTCAAGATTAAAGCATGTTATGAGTAAAATGAATGCTAAAGAATAGCATTTAGCTACAGAGTAGTTGGGACAATTCTTAGGGCCCACACACTTCTGGGCCCCCCAGAGTTACTATTTGAAAACACTATTTCTATGTTTATTAACAGTGTTGGGGAAAGCTACTTTTGAAAGTAGTGCATTACAATATTGAGTTACTCCCCCCAAAAAGTAACTAATTGTGTTACTAAGTTTCTTTTTATGGAAAGTGATGTGTTACATTAGTTTTGAGTTACTTTTCTTGCCTGGCTGAGGTTTGATGTCTGAGGTTTGTAAAGCTCTGCATTTAACAACCACATAAAGAACCTACACCTTTATTTTCCTGTAAAAGATGTAGGATACAATTATATTTTAAGAATTTTCCACAGCTACACATGCTGTATATACAGATTAATGAAAGCATATAAAGAAATGTGTTTGCTACTTCTGTATGTTTTGTGTTATTAGTTAAGTAAATTCACTTTCCATTAAGATGAAGATTGCAATAAAGACTAAAAAAAGAGTACAAACATGAAATAATTTATCAAGGCAAAAACAGATTTTAAACTTTTAAAATGTTTAACAACAAAATGAACAGTAAGATGATAAAAAAATAATCAAAATGAATCTTTGAGCTTTATACATTGATTAAATTGCTTCATTAAATGGCCTTAACAAATGTGTCAATCTTTCTCAAAAGAGAAAAAAATCTTACTATATTACAAAATGTGGTCTCCTCTTCAGTAGACGTCAATCATAGCTAAAGATGGGGTGTTTCTTGCAGTTGTCAAGAGTTTTACTTGCAGATAATCTACACTTAACAACAAACCACTTCTTTTCTTCGATCAGTTCAAAATAACAAGAACATGCAAAAACGTAAGTCTCTGGCCTGCCATTGTTTTTCTTTCTAACTGTCTGTAGTGATGATGGGCAATTCGCGAATGAATCGTTTGTTTTAACCAGATCTTCTAAGTGTACTTGTTGTCGTTAAACAGTTTGCATCTTCAGTAAGTACTCTGTCGCGAAATAAACCCTTATCAGTTAGTATAACAGTCAGTCAGTTAGTGACTGACTTATCTGCTGTGAAAAAAAGACATCTGATGATGATGAGTGCGACCCTCGCAGCACGCTCACTCTTATTGAGCGTGTGATTCAACTCGACTAAGGTAAGTTTGTTCAATATATTTTGTAAAAGCCAATTAAGCAAGGTAAAAAGTAACTAAAAAATATGACTTCTTTTTAATAGTAATGCATTACTTTGGAAAAGTAATATTATTACAAAACGTGAGTTTCTTATAACGCATTACCCCAACACTGATCAATAATCTCACACTGCTTTTATGCGTTTAGTTTTACCTGGTTTCTGGAACCGTGCCTCACTGGGGACTCAAACCAGTCACAAGAGAAAAGTCATCCCTACAGAGGTAAGCAGTCAGCGGTACTGACCCGTAGCGTTCGTTTTACACACAAAATGCAGCCATATACAAACTTGCACATATTTGTTGGTTCTCAAAAATGTAACCCTGGGCACATTTTTCCATTGAAACTGTTTTCAAGAGTTCACACTAAGCTGATGATTGATCATAAAGCTTGTTTGGCATGCTGTCCTGGGAGAGAGCCCTAAGCTCATAAGATCCTTGAGCCCGGGGCTCCCTCCTGTTTGCAGAACGTTGGCTGGCTTGGTAAGGACTAGAACCAGGGATGTTCTTGCTGTGTGGCAACAGTGCTAACCACTGGGCCACTGTGCCACCCGTCTAGGAAAGGAGGAGAAGTAGGGGTGGAAGGGGAATTCATCAAAATGAAGGTGGCTGTCATATGGATCTTAGGGTATTTATAGTGGCTTAGGGATCGTCTGATAGTTGAATCATGAACTAAATAATGCGGGGCCGGCTGCAAGAATCATAAGCGTGTGATCCTCTCCAAATTAGTATATAAATAAACTTCACTTAAAAAAAAAATCAGGAAAGTTGTCGCTAGTTGAAAAATGAGATTTAAAACACTGATAAGAAATGTGTGTCCTTCGTCTGCTTGTGATCAAATCATCCAAATGCATCTTAATACCAGTTGTAAACAGGGCCTATAATATATGGTTTTATTTGAACTGATCATGATACGAATGGCAACATTTTAAGGCCCATTTCAAGGTGAATTGTAATCCATTAATCTGACTCGAATGCACCTTCACTGACATTTACGCCTATAAAAAGACTTTAACAGGACCGATAGATACATACATACATGAAGACCAAACTTTCCTACCACCACAGACTAACAATAAATATCCAATACATATCTGTCCATTACTGAATGAATCTTATCAACTGCCCTTCCTGACTCTTGAATTGGGAAAAATTACTCTTTGTTATGCCTAATAATGAATGTTTTCCCAATCATCCACTCTCAAATCCCATATTTTGATCATATCTACATGAATAAGGCTGTTGGTTAGATATTTCACCTCTCCCACATCAAGAACAAACAGCGACGAGAACAACTTTGGTTTGCTTCAGAAAAACATGACCATCACGAGCACAGGACACCGTGGGACAGATATGGGACATTCGCACAAATCAGCAGTCAGTCTGTTGTTTTCCTTTTTTCGTACAACAAAATAGATACTCTGGGTGACATACATGGCCGGAGGTTAGGAGGACGCCTATTCAGGGCTTTCGGGATCAAAATCATCACCCATTTGATAGCTGGAGCCCTGGGTGGAGTAGGAGCGGGTCTTCATTGAGCAGTTAGAGTCCATGAGAATGGCCTGAAAAAAACACAAAAAACATGAGTATGATTACATTGTAGGATTACATTATTAGTTATTTTACTTCACATATAGCCTAGAAAACCTGTAAATGTAGCCAAATAACCATTTTTAGTCTTATAATTTACATGACCGACCTAGACAGTATACAAAGCCCAGCATAAATGAGTACATCCCCTACACATCTCTCAGACATATTACTATTATACGTTCCAATGCTAGGACTGCACAATATATTGTTTCAGCATCGACACTGCAATGTGATCATTCGCAATAGTCACATCACAGGATATGCAGTGTTGAGTTTGTATTATAATTTATCGTTATCCATCGACTATGACTGGTATAAGAATTCTTTTAAAGCATTCGGGCATAAGAAATTGTACCGTTTGTAATGTTAATAGCGATTAATATTATTTGTATTTATATAATTCTGTTACTTTACCTGAATACCGTTAGACTCAGCAAACGATAAAAGAAAAGTTTCACCAGCGATCCAGCCTTCATAGATCGCTGGAGAACAAAGCTGGAGAACACTCACATTTACACAGACTACAATCTTGTCCTGTAGCACACACACACCTGCTCCAAGTCTCCATTGATTACACTCACACAGCTGATGCTGCTCATGTACTGATCACACAAACATCTACAGTTGAAGTCAGAATTATTAGCCCCCCCTTTGATTTTTTTTTCTTTTTTAAATATTTCCCAAATGATGATTAACAGAGCAAGGAAATTTTCACAATATGACTGATAATATTTTTTTCTTCTGGAGAAAGTCTTATTGGTTTTATTTCAGCTAGAATAAAAGCAGTTTATATTGCTTTAACATCATTTTAAGGTCATAATTATTAGCCTCTTTAAGCTTAATTTTTTTTTTGATTGTCTACAGAACAAACCATCATTATACAATAACTTGCCTATTTATCCTACCCTGCCCAATTAACCTAGTTAAGCCTTTAAATGTCACTTAAAGCTGTATAGAAGTGTCTTGAAAAATATCTAGTAAAATATTATTTACTGTCATCATGGCAAAGATAAAATAAATCAGTTATTAGAGATGAGTTATTAACACTATTATGTTTGAAATGTGCTGAAATAAATCTTCTCTCCGTTAAACTAAATTTAGTTATTGTGGAAAAAAATAAACGGGGCTAATAATTCAGGGGGGCTAATAATTCTGACTTCAACTGTTTACGGCTCACTTTGAGACACTCATTGCTGAGTCTCGTTGAACTGATTGTGAACATAATGACGCGTTTTCCTTGCCTTGCCTTGTTTGACTCTAAAGCTGTGGTCACAATAGAGTTTGAGCATGCGAAATTCTGCCGTACGGTGCTGCGAGAAGGGGCGGGCTTAAACAGGATGATTAGACATATATTAAATAGCGAGCGATTGCTCCATCTTTTGAAATTCTCTCCAGGGAGGTCATGTTTTGATCTTAGATTGGTCTCACACAGTCAAGTGATGCGATTTCGCAGGTCAGAGTGCAGTTAACTGTAAAACTTTTCACACGAATTTGTTTCCGGTCTGACGCATTTGCGTGTGTATGAATGGAGGTCTATGGGGAGAAAAGTCCTGTGTGACCACAGCTTGACTTTGTTTTGTCTATGTTGTCTGCTTTGCCTTTTTGACCATCTGCCTGTTGCATGACTATGACTCTGGATTTACCTGTGTACACCTGTTTGCCCCCGTCTTGACAGTTGCTTGCCTGACCATGCCTGCTTAGAAACCTGCGTTTGGATCCTTACTTTCTATGTCAGAATCTCACTTCACAATTCAGCTGTTTATTTGATTTGTATCTTTTTCTTTATTCTATTGATCTGTGCTGATAGATTGTTATTAGATTATATACAGACGCACTCACCTACATAATCACCCCAATCAATCTAAAATGATAAATTCTTTCCAAATACAAATGTTCAAGGGATCTGGTGAAACTGCATTTATATCGTAATATGTATATATCGCAGAATAACAAAATATCACAATGTTTTAATTATCAATATTGTGCAGCCCTATGCGATTGGTTAAAATAAGACATTTTTGCAAATATGGTTTATTAATTTTGCATTAGATTGCAAATAGAAGTCAGCATAAAAACCAAAATTGTAATCATTCTAACAAATCATTTGTATGATCATGGCAGAAAAAATTAGTACACCCCAGTAAATATGTGAATATGTAAAATTGTAACCTATAGGAAAAATCAAGGAGGCCTTACAAAATATTTCATTTAGTTAAAGGTTCAGGACACCCTGGATAACTTTTTTTTTATATTAACATATTTGTGTGTGTTGAGCATCAGTTAAGACAATGTTAGCACCTGTCAGCTTTAATTGTGGGGAAAACTGGATAATTTTGAGCTTTTGTCAGCTAATTCCAGCTTCCGGTTTTAAAATGATTTTTGGGGCGGGATCAAAATCGGCGACGTAGCGCAGTACTGCAAGTGCAATGATGACGCGTCGGTTTCTCATTATTATTCATAGCGGAGTTTTCTTATCCTATGAGAAGAGCCGGCTGCTTAATTGTTCATGAGACCTGCCAGACCTGCCAGAGTCAAGCCCGAGCTGTGAGACACGTCACGGACCCACGGGCACACAGTATTTAGCCATTCATGAAGGCTCATTTGCGTTTGTTTCCATGATCCATGCGGTTTGTTGCATGTTTTCCCCCGCGATCTTGTCAGGGCCGATCATACAGCAAAGCTGTGTGTGTGCTGCTAGCATTTTTGTCGGGAGAGCAGCACGAGAATTAGAGAATAGTGGACGCTGTCTTTTATCAGGAGTTCATTCACATTCAGACACATCACTGTGCTGCTGTGTTTGCCTAAATCCTCCAGATTACCAGCAGGGCTAATGGTTAAAATAGACAGGTCAGGAGACCTGCTGCACTGAGTCTGCTGGATACGGGGATTGAGGGAGAAGTCCCCATTTATACGGTTTACATGAACACACTTATCTTTATAATTATATAAATTGTGGTTGTGTATATGAAATTAAGAATAACAAATGTAGCAGGGCATTAAATCACTATTTATTTCTTTGCATTTTAACTTTGTAAACTATAAACTCATGCGTCTCCTCACGGTTTATCTCATTTTGTGAGCTAGCTTCGTTCGCTCACGTTCTCCCCTGCTGGCCACGCCCACTCCTGCCCGATGCTCGCGGAGCTCCATGCCCATTAATCATGCATCTTTTGAAAAAATTCTGAAGTAGACTTTAACCATAAGTGGGGGGTGTCATGGCCCTTTAAAACAAATTGTAAGTTGTAAAAGATTTGCAGCTACTCATTTAAACTAATAAGTGTTATTTGTCTTTTCCCGATGATGTTAGGTGGCTGCACTCTTACATTAGGAATGATAATGCCTAAATGGTTTTGTAATAAAGCAGTAATATAGATGATTACACATTCAAATAGATATATTACCTTATACTCTTATTATACTCTTATATTACCTTATGTTCTGTCAATTTGTTCTACCTTGTCTGCTTGTCCTACCTCCCATTAAAAAAGTAGGTAGCACATTTTAGTGACGCAATATGCTACCCATCAGATTTTGCTACCAGAGTAAATTTTAATGAAGAGTAGTGTGATATGAAGGTGTAAAATCACTGTAATAACCTAATTAATCCCAAACGCCAACCTCAATACAGTGTTGGTAGAATAATCTGATGGGTAGGATCAAATGTTAGGACACCAGTACCTTTTTTTTGTACTTTTGTACTTTATCTTTTGCAATTATATTTCTGAGAGTGTATATCATTAAACTATTAAACCCTAAAATTCAATAAAATTTACTTTGTTAAACATTTTAACATCAAATGTTCCAAAAGCAGAGATGAAGGTCCCTTAATGCAGTTAAAAAAGGTGTAATTAAACATCAGTGGTTTATAAGCAATAGTGTTCAAATATGGATTCAGACAACTGTAAATTAACATTGCCTTTACAACATACAAACCACAACCAAGCAAATATATTTAGAGTTAACATAGACTAAGATGAAACGGGTCTATTTGCACACGAATTAGCTATACTGTATATTCAGGAAACAATGGATGACATGCACAGACGTTAAATATTGATTTATAAGTGCAAAAGAAAAAGATGCTCATTGACCTGGCAGAGAGAAAAGTTTTACATTAAGCTTCGTCAACAAAATCAATAAATCACTTCAGTCTATAATGGGAAAATGTATATATTAAAAAAGTATGATATTATACAGCACATTTTAGCTCTTATGTTTTCTATTTTGTTACAGACATACAGTGACATCCTGCAACTGTTTTGCAGCATATGAAATGTCCCAAACACTATTTTAACTGTCCAAAATTGGCAAAAAAATTTTTTTTTACTAATAGTCAAAACATGTTAAAAAATGTGTGTGTGTGTTATTAATGCATTAAAAAAAGTCAGGAAAAACTGCTGTGTTCAAGGCAGAAATAAAGAGTTTTTCATTCTATTTCACAAAGGTGACTTTATTGTGTTTTATGGAAATTCTGACCACAAGTCTACATATATGGACATAATAAATTTTTCTCTAAAAGTACATCATATCAAAAGATGATACTTAGGTTTTATTCTAATAAGGTTCCAATAAGCCCAAATAGCAAAGAGAAATAAAAAATGCATGTAAAGAAAACTTGGGCCTTAAGAGGTTAAATATGTTATTATATTTTATTACTATAATTTTATATTTTTATTACTGTACTAATAATTATTATTAAATAAATAATAAACCAAATAACTCACTTTTCGATCCGACTATATCTAATACATATTTAAATTAATGTAAAAAAAATTATTATTAAAATATATATTTTTAATCAGTTTTGAAAAGTTGAAGTCTTTATTTACTTGTTAGTTTTTAATTGATTATTTAAGTTTCTTTTATTCGTATGATGTTGTAATTTTATTTTGAGTTCAAACGGACTCAATGTTGGCCTAATTTATATTTTCTCATATCCAAAACAGCCACTAGTGAATGATATCATCCGTTGTAGGCGGGGCTCTTCTCATCTGTCGACGCCCCCTAACAGTAAGAGATAGTGGCTTTATTGTGCTGTGATTGAACGAGGCTTTGATAAAGCGTGTGTAAAGCAGGCACAAACAGATCCAGCGTATATGCGTGTGTGTGTGTGTGTTAGTGCTCTTCAGAATCAGTGTAGTGCTCCTCTTGAGAAAGAAAGACCCCGATGCTCAGCTTTGATCACACAGCATTTGAGGGCAAACGCACGAGTCTGTTCAGATCAGCATCACTCTTTGATCTTGGCTTAAGGGCCATTTTTATTTGTATCTATTATGTAAGAAATTTCCTGTGGCAGTCAAATTCTGTCATGTCAGTGACTTGATAGAGATCAAATCAAATGGGAAAGTGTGTCTGAATGCCAGGTGGAAAGTGAACATATGGATGTTACTGGAAAATATGGACACACTTAATAAAAAAAAAAAAAAAATAATCTTTTTGGAATTGACTGTGATAAAGAAAACTCAAAAAACACACTTTTTATAGTGGACAAAGTTTTTTTTAGATTATTAAAATGTTTTTTCGGACAAAAAAAAAAGCGCTTTTAGCAAATGGGCTGATTCTTCTATGGCAATGCTACAAAAAAACATTATTATTATTATTATTTTTAATAGTGTATGAGTCAAGATACATCCACCATTTTGTATTAAAGCTCAGAAATCATAAAATTAACCATATTATACTTATTTTCATATGATAAATTATTCACATTTAATTATTTATTATTATCAGCCGAGACTTAAACAGACGGCATTCACGAGAACCTACTAATAAATGCATGCAGCATAATATTGTTTTAAATGTTTGTTTTAGCTCTAAGGTTCTGTTCAAACTTGATAGATTTGGTTTGAATAAAACTAACTCTGGTGCAATTGTTCTGCTAGTTAGTTATTTAGCTATTAGTTAATATAAAATTAGTTAGTTACCTCTATTTCTAAAGCAAATTTGTAGCTCATGTTACCTATTTAACCTCTTAATAGCAATGTATTAACAAACACACATTCAGTATACTGTAAAATAAAGCGATTAAGAGACTTTTACTTAAAAAAGAGGGTAAACAAGTTGTCTTAGATAATTAAAAAAATAAGTTAACTTAACAATTTTACAATGTTTATACAAGTTACAATCGCTGTACTCGCATTTTTAAGGTAAAGTAGCCAGGGCTTGACATTATCATCTGCCTAATGCAGGTAGATTTTAGCTGTGGTGGGTTAGATAGTCAAACCAACTAGCCACTTTGGCTGGTTGAAAATATTTTTTAAATTGCCAGTGCTGGCTAGTCACTAAAGATTAGAGTTATAGTTTATGACCATTTGTCAATAAGCGTGCAAATGTGATCTTAGAATCGAGAAGCAGCATGGCTAACTGTTAACAAAACTGAAAGGAGGTAAATACAGAATGAGAGGATGATCACACACACAATGAGACACAGGCACGCTCCAGTTACCTTGCGCGAAGTAACTGTGCCTGGAAACTCAACTGGTACAATGGGTTACCTTTGGAATAGACTGGACAAAAAGCAATGCTCGTGCACCCAATGTCCTGCTGCTTTCAAGAGCTTAAGAGTTTTTTATTTATACAGCTATTATTCGCTTGTTTTGACACTATTTACAATTTCTGGCAAAGAAATAATTAGTTTGATGTGGCCAGAGAAAAATTTTATAAATCCTTAGGTGTTGAGCCCTAAAAAGTCACGTGAAATAAAACTAAATGCAATGCGACACTATGAAACAACAATCCATTGAGCAAGGTCACAACACACAAAAAAGTTAAATGAACGAGGAGGCATGTAGACATAACATAAAATTTAAATCAAGTAATTTTTTTGCATATAAATATATTTTCCAAACAACAAAACTGTGGCTAGTGAAAATGTAACGTTGGAAAACTACTAGCCACAGTGGCTGGTGATCAAAAATGTCAATATCAAGCCCTGAAAGTAGCTAATTACTTTTTACATTGCACGCTCCCATTGTTATTTGCAACAGCCATCATCTAATCAATACCGGACGGATGAAACCACTAAATTTTTAATTTCTAATTAATTCTAATTTTCTAAATAATTAGAGAAACCTGTGTCACCTAAAACATTTTGTGATGAAAATTACTTTTTTCATGAGTGTGTAGATTGCGATGGGTATAATGTATGTTAGTATATGTATATATGGTGGATTCTAACCATCTTTTCCTCGTTGGCGGGAGGATTTCGCAGAAAGAAACAAAGAGGAGCAAACATGATGTCCACTAAACCGATGATGGTCATGAGCCAGGGGAAGCCGATGCTCCGCGCGATCGCTCCACCTGCTGATGGACCTGCACAATAAACGCGAGTGTTAAATGCTGCTAAACACATTAAAATGAATGAAGGCATTTCTAACAGACTGAATTTTCATTTCAGACATTACCTAAAGCAAAACCCATGCAAAAGGCGACATCAGCAATGGCGTACACACTTCCATACACCGACACGTGCCTCAGATCGACCAGATAACCCATGATAGGCATCATTGAAGAGTCCACCATACCTGCAGACCACAAAATACAGGCTGTTTATGACACGCATTTTACACCGACACTGAATATTATGCACATTAACAGTAACATAACAATATATTACACATGCCCATTCATGACAATGTCTCTTATTGTTATGTCATTTAATGACCAAATGTTTAGACAATCCCTTCACACTAACAAGCTAAAACATGTTAGCAACATGCTACAAAATTAGTTTTATGCTATCAACAATCTAAAACATGCTAGTCACTATACAATATTATAAATATGCTATCTGCAATCTAAAATATGCTAGTCATGATACAATATTAGCAATATGTTAACAACACGATAAAACACGGTAGTCATATTATAATACTAGCAATATGCTATCAACAAGCTAAAACATGCTAGTCATGATACAATATTAGCAATATGCTATCAACAAGCTAAAACATGATAGTCACTATACAATATTAGCAATATGCTATATATAAAGTTAAACATGCTAGTCATAATACAATATTAGCAATATGTTAACAACACGATAAAACACGGTAGTCTTATTATAATACTAGCAATATGCTATCAACAAGCTAAAACATTTTAGTCATGATATATTAGCAATATGCTATCAGCAATCTAAAATATGCTAGTCATTATACAATATTAGCAATATGCTATCAACAAGCTAAAACATGCTAGTCATGATACAATATTTGCAATATGCTATCAACAAGTTAAAACATGCTAGTCATGCTACAATATTAGCAATATGCTGTAAATAAGTTAAAACATGCTAGTCATGATACAATATTAGCAATATGCTATCAACAAGCTAAAACATGATAGTCACTATACAATATTAGCAATATGATATATATAAAGTTAAACATGCTAGTCTTAATACAATATTATAAATATGTTATGAGCAATCTAAAATATGCTAGTCATGATACAATATTAGCAATATGCTATCAACAATCTAAAATATGCTAGTCATGATACAATATTAGCAATTTGCTAACAACAAGATAAAACATGCTAGTCATTATACAATATTAGCAATGTGCTATCAATAAGCTTTAAACATGCTAGTCATGATACAATATTATAAACATGCTATCAACAAGCTAAAACATGCTAGTCAAAATAAAATATCATAAATATACTTTTAACAAGCTAAAACATGCTAGTCATGTTACATTATTAGCAATATGCTATCAACAATCTAAAACATGCTAGTCATGATCAAATATTAGGAAAATGCTAGCCACATGTTACAACATTAGCAACATTTTATCATCAAGCTAGCATGTTAACATTATGGTAAAAACATACATTAAATTATAGTTAGAAACGCCCTGTCATGCAATTTTAAATACTTCGACACCATGTTGTGCACAAATAGCAATGCAAAATTTAAATAAGAGTAAAACAGAAAACACAGGTCATTATTGGAGACATTATTGAATATTCAATTAAAAAAACATTTTAGACAACCATAGGCATGGAAAAATGTGTTAAAAAATGTAATTCATGCCAACTGCTGGTAGATCTTTAACTACTGGGATTTGAGTATGAATGGGGTTAGTTGTGTTACATGTCTTTTAAAGTGATTTGTGATATATATGATGATGTTGAATGTAATAACATAGATAATCTATTAACAAATGTCCTTTTCCTCTTTGCTTTTGCATACTAAATAAAGTAAACCAGTCAAACTGACCCCGAGCTTTGTTAAAAATGTTTTTATAAAGAAAGAAAAAATTGTATTAAATTATTAAATAATTTTAACTAAATTAACTATATTAACTTCAATAAAATAAATAAAAGCTTATTTGTGCAGTGCTTTTCACAATAAATATTGTTCTAAAAGAGCTTTACAAAACATGTATTTCATTACATTACAGTCAAAATCAGAAAGACTTAAGGTAATGCATATGGGATGGATAGCATATATACATAAACTGCAGTTTTACAATATGTAGTGTTTTTTTTTTTTTTTTTTCAAAAAGGTAATTTTTATGTGTATAATAGAAAAGAAAAAGGAGCATTACATGTGTTAAGACTCACCTATGGCGAATCCAACACCAAAGTTTGGTACAATGAGTCCATAAATGTCTTTTGCAAGAGGCACCTGTTGGACAGTCAGAAGAGCTCAATATGGTAAGCAGAATCTTGTTATTAGAAAATACCACATAAACACTCTGTAGAGTATCAGAAGAGGGTTTGCACAGAACTATTTGTGATCCTGTACCACAAAACCAGTCATATTTTACACATTAACACATTATCTTATAGTAAACATAAGCCTTCCATTGATTTTTTATGGTATGACAATATTTGGCCAACTATTTGAAAATCTGAAATCTTAGGTTTAAAAATAAATCAGAATATTAGAAAATCATCTTTAAAGTTGTATAAAAAAATGTACAATATACTTAATATTCAATTGATTTCTGGCATAAACGAAAATCATTTTGACCCATGCAATGTATTTTCCTTTATTTCCATAAATATAACTGCAACAAAACACTGGTTTTGTGGTCTAGAGTCACATTTTTGTGCTTTGTTTTTTCATAACCTTTTGTGTCCATGTTTTTCCATAAGCACATGTGTACTTGACTCTCATATGAACTTGTTTTCCCATCTAATCTGATAAACATCTATAAGAGAACAGACTGTCTTCCTGGTAAGCAGGATATGTCCAAGACAGCGAGAGTCCGAGCTGTCAATTCAAAATAAACTTTCTTTGCAGCCCTCAACCGAGCTTGAGGACAGCAAATGATTTCAGGCTCCGTAATCCACAACTGTATTTATAGATAAATACTGAAATATTCACAGTTGTGAAATGTTAATCTTAAGGTGGATTTAGTCAGGAGGAACTTACGCAGAGAATACTGATTCCAACCAGCAGCATGCCTATAAGTGAGCACAGCCATCTGTAGAGAAAGAGGAGACAAAAAATGAAGATGAACCAACTAATGTCTGCTGTTCTGATTCAGAGGTATCTGAGGACTAAGACATTCGGAGGGTCACAAAGCCACAACAACAGAACTTGCCCTGATAGGGACGAATGCAGTTCATTAAATGTCACAGTGCAAGTCTACAAGCTCTGCAGTTTAACTACTGACAGTTCTGCTGCTTCGCCAGACATGCTTATCTTTTCTTTTCTTTACAAACCCCTCCAGGCATTTTTTAAGAAAATGTCACATAAGATGTGGAAATGCAAACAGTTATCCGATGTTCAAAATTAAAACACATAAAGTGCCTGGTAAATAGACTTAAAGAGGGTTTGTTTACAGCAAAATGTAATTATTTTTATTTGTTTGCCTCATGTTGTTTCAAAACCTTAAGAATTTTGTTCGAATTCAGAATACAAATGATGAAATTTAATTTAAAGTCAGTTCACTAAAATCTGAACATTCATAATGAGAATAAAATCTATACATACACTCGCAGGTCACTATATTAGGTACACTTGTCCAACTTATCATTAATGCAAATTTCTAATAAGTCAATCACATGGCAACAGCTCAACGCATTTGGGCATGTAGACAGTCAAGATGATCTGCTGCAGTTCAAACTGACCCTCAGAACGGGGGAAAAAGAGATTTATGTGGCATGGTTTTTGAACTCAGACGGGCTGATCTGAGTATTTCAGAAACTGCTGATCTACTGGGATTTCCACGCACAACCATCTCTAGGGTTTACAGAGAATGGTCCGAAAAAGAGAAATTATCCAAAAGCATTGTTGATGCTATAGGTCAGAGGAGAATGGCCAGTTGGTTCCAGCTGATAGAAAGGCAACAGAAACTCAAATAACCACTCGTTACAACCGAAATATGCAGAAGAGCATCTCTGAACACATCCAACCTTGAGTCGGATGGGCTACAGCAGCAGAAGACCCCACCGGGTGCCACTTCTGTCAGCTAAGAACAGGAAACTGAGGCTACAATTCACACAGGCCCACCAAAATTGGACATCAGAAGATTGTAAATACATTGCCTGGTCTGATGAGTCTGATGGTGGGGTCAGAATTTGGCATAAACAACATGAAAGCATGCATCTACCCTGCCTTGTATCAACGGTTCAGGCTGCTGGTGGTGATGTAATGGTGTGGGGCAAATTTTCTTGGCACACTTTGGGCCTATTAGTACAAATTTAGCATTGTGTCAGCACCACAGCCTACCTGAGTATTGTTAAATTAAGGCAGTTCTGAAGGCAACAGGGGGTCCAATCTGGTACTAGTAAGGTGTACCTAATAAAGTGGCCGGTGACTGTATACTGTGTAATTTAAACAGTTTAATCTTCTTTCTATATTCATTCTCAGAAATAAAAGTAGAAAAGCTTTATAGGCTTGATTTAAGCCCTAATATTTGTTAAATTAATTAAACAAATATAACAATTTTACTGTTTATTTTTCAGAAAATGATAACTGGTCAGAATTACAAATGTTTTCATTTACCGTGACTGACAATCAGGATTATTCAGCCAAAATAGTTTTTTTTTACTCTTCTAAAGTCAAACATTGATGTCATGTTGCCTAAAAATAAATGAAAACACGTCGGAAAACATGACACCTTCATGATATTGTATGCAAAAGGCCATTATCTTTTCTTATCCATAGATGTATTGCATCAAATGTGAAATTTTATAATGTGAGAAAAGATTTCTATTTGACTAATTATAAGCACAAATGAAATAATAATAATGAATATTTATTAAGCACCAAATCATCATAGGATAATATGACACCGAAGACTAAAGCAATGATGCTGAAAACACTACTTTGTCTTTAGATAAATAAAATAACATTTTAAAATATATTAAAACTGAAAACATCAGTTGATCAAAACTGCTCACTGTCAGTTTTGTCACTTTTTAAGGAGTTAATTTCCATCACCATGGAATAATGTATATTCCCTTTAAAAGTGCTTGAGCTTCATTATAACTAAGTGTAGACAACAAACAAACAAACACCCGGTATGCTGAGACTGATGTTTAAAAACATAAACACAAAACCTGGCGACAGAAACTCATTTAGAGCCATTTCAAAACAGAGGAAGCTGATAGCAGAGCGGAGGAAGATAAGGAAAGAGAAGAGGAGGAAAAAAAACACATTAATTTCCCTCTCCTACCTCCCCATTTTGTGAGCCAAAACGGCAAAGATGTTGGTCCCTATTAGATATGAGATGCTGGCTGGCACAAATGCAATCCCTAAGAGAAGAGAGAGAGAGAGCAGATAAGACGACACAATATCAGTTTGATCTCAGAGCTGCTGTTGGTCTCACAGACGCTGTTATGAAGCAGCTTCACTCATTCTCCTGCTCCTTCTCTTTCATTAGCTCTCGTGCTTTCCCTTTGCCTGTCAATGACACCTCAATATCCTGCCTGCCCTGTTTCCCTGCTTTCCTTTCTCTTTATTAGCTGTCCACGCTTCGTAAACAGCAGGAAAACCACAGAGGAACTCAGAAGTCACTGTGTCTGGAGTATGCAGTGTTTTGGATGGTGAATAAGAGTTCACTACAGTCTTTATCCAATTCTGGATGCATGTGGAAATATTTATTTTGTGTTTTTTTGATAGTGGCTGTTAGATGCTTCTTTTGTGCACAAAGCTGGAAACATCCTAATTAGTGTGAGGTAGTCCAATGATCTTTTTGGAATAGCATTGTTTGTATATAAAATTGTCATGACATTTTCATAATCATAACGGAAAAAGCACTGTCACTACTAAATTGCTAAATCACATTTATAAACTACATTACATTGTTAATTACAATTTTAAAAATCATCCAATTCATTCACCAATAATTTTCTAATAATTAAAATCTGAGTAAATTAGATACAATAAATAAATGAACAAATAAATTTCGCATAATGGAGTATTTTCATGCAGTATACTGTGTATATACAGTTGAAGTCAGAATTATTAGCCCCCTGTTTATTTTTTCCCCCAGTTTCTGTTTAACGCAGAGAAGATTCTTCAACACATTTCTAAGCATAATAGTTTTAATAACTCATTTTTAATAACTGATTAATTTTATCTTTGCCATGATGACAGTACATATTGTTTTACTTGATATTTTTCAAGACACTTCTATCAGCTTAAAGTGACATTTAAAGGCTTAACTAGGTTGATTACTAGTTATTGTATAACGATAACCATATTGAGCTCTTTTGTTCTGTAGACTATAGAAATTTTTTTTTAAATATTAATTAATATTTAAAATTATTTAATTAAATTATTTTGTGCTTAAAATGGTGTTTAAAAAATGTAAAACTTTTATTCTAGCCAAAATAAAACAAATAAGACTTTCTCCAGAAGAAAAAATATTATCATATACTGTAAAAATTTCTCTGCTCTGTTAAACATCATTTTGGGAAATAGGAGGGCTAATAATTCTGACTTCAACTGTATATATATATATATATAGTTTTATATACAGTTATATATATATATATTTTTTTTTTTTTCATTTAATTTAGCAGTTTGAAAGGAAATTACATCATGAGTAATTTTAAGAATCAAATTGAGTAATCTAATTATCATGAGTAAATTAAGAAATAAAGCTAATTAATTATCATGAGTAAATTAAGAAATAAAGCTAATAAATAAATAATAATATTTCATGAGTACTTTAATTGATAAAAAATCAATACTCAAGTAATAATGAGTATAAATTTTGCTATAACTGATAACAAAGTGTGACATTTAATCACAAATGTATATAAAATCAAACTTTTCTTCATACACAATACCCAATTGCCGTGGTATTGGTTTGCTGAAGCATGTTTTGAATAATTAATAATTAATACAAATGTAAAATTGGAATTAAATTCCTTTATAGAAGTATATTTTTTTCTTTATGCTAAATTTTAGATTTAAATATTACCTGGCTATTATTTTGATATTTTCTCTCTTTAGTTTGTGACCTTCTAATTAGATAAAACACACTTTGGGCTTTACTTGTTCTCTCTCTTTTTCTTTGCCTGTTCATCTTTACCAACGGTGAAAGTGAAAACCCTGGAACTAAAGATTTAAGTGAGTGTGCACATCAACACAAGGCACATCCTCCAACCTAGCTGCCATTTCCGGGGGCACATGGTCTCCATCATCCAGATGGGCAACGCCGGCTCCAGCATAGCAATGGCCATGTTAGCAAAACAAATGGAACCTGAAACAGAAAATGAGGAGGGTCAGTGTCCGTCTCTCGCCCTCCCTTGGATATAATGAGCATCATGTTGGCCAGTGTAATTGGAGAGCACAGATGTGTTTCTTGACCACTTCACACACACACACACATACACACATTCTTATTTTTTTCTCACTAAAAACATTTCTGAATTTGCCTGAGGCCTAAAACACATCCGGTGCCACACATGCAGCAAAAATATCTAAACAAAAACATTGGTTTCTTTCTTTACACACTTTGGAAAATGCTGGGTTATTTCAATTCAAATTTGGTTTGGTTTGAAATAAAATGTTGGTTTAAAACTTCTCAGCATTTTTTTTTCAGCTCCAGAGAATTGAATCCATCGGCACCAAAATATTTTACCTTTGAACAGACGTGAGTAAAGAGTGTTTTATGAATAGAAACTAGCTTTCTGCTTTTAGGAATAACATTTTTAATTGTGTCATTTGGTCTAACCTGCTGCAATGAGGATGTATGGGTCCTTCATGAGGGTTATAAGTGAAGTTCCTTTTTGACTCTGGGAGAGTAAAAAGATAAATAAATAAAAATTTCATTAAAATAAATTAGCAAAAAAGCAAAGAGAGCATGTAAAATAAGCAATGCCATAAAAGTGTTAAATACTGTCTTTCATCACATAAAACTTGATATCTTAATTGTTTATTTATTGTGATTCAGATTTCTTTCAAAACCTCAACAGGCATTGTAACTGCACTCAGAATATTTCACAAATACCTTACAAGATAGATATAGTTCTGACAGGAACATAATTTAAAAGGAAAAACTTACAAGTGCCTGTTAATGTTTTTTTTTTTTTGTCAGGTATGTTTTCATAAAGGGGTGTATGTCAGGGCAAATGACAAATACTGCCCTCATCACCACAGCAGGTCCCATTAAGATGAGTTGACTACTTGAGAATCACACAAAACAATATATATGAGCCCCATATGCCTTTTGCTCCCTTTATGACTCCTCTATGCGATCACCCAGAGGATCACAGACATCTTAACTCTCCATATTGATGTGGGAATTATGGCATCTGGTGCAAACTCTACAGTTCCTAAAGGAAGTGAAAGATCTCAATTTATTTCTAAACTTGGAGTGTTTTACTCGTTAATAGATTTACAAGATAATCAGTATAGAAATATTAATTTAAAGCAGATATGTTCAAATTTTTAAGTATTTTATGTTTGTCAATATGAGCAGCTCATCATTAACCTTAAAGATAAAGTGATATCTGTACTCTAATAATTTTGAAAAAGCTGAAAAAAAAACTTCTGCAATGTCACTGTCATGAAAAATGGCCAATTGCAAATCATTTATCAACCACTGGTATCGCTAATAACAATGTTTTCTGGACTATTTGTTCAGTAGCTTATTTAATGTACTAAACTACAATTTCAGGGTTTTTTAACCAAGGTGTTTGTATCGCAGACCACAAGGAAACGGTCTCTTAATTGTTTGTACTGTAGGTGAAAATTGGCAATTTTTTCATCTGTTGATGACAAAGCAGTGATGTGGCAAAAATGTGAGAGGGGTCTGAATGCAGACTTGGTGTAGTGCAATCTGAGCTGCATCAAATGCTTTTTAATTCACTCTCCTAACCCCACCCTTAACAGTGATGTCACTAGCTTCACTGCGTGCATTGTGTCTGACATTGCATCGCTGAAATATGCAGTCTTAGCTTGCATCAAGGTTACATCCAGATACTATTGAAAAATGCAGTAATTACTAACACATCAGTGTGTCATATTATTAATTAAACTGTTTAATTCCTTGTGCTTAATAATTCAGAACAACACACATTGCTTTGATTTGAGACACACTTAACTGTGACAGTGCATAGTTAGAGGTGTGTTCATTGGTCAAAAGTGATTATCCATTCAGTCTTTTACACAGTCTTTGCTGTTCTTTGATATAACAGATAAAATGGCGTATATAAACAACAAAATACATCTTTACAGCTACATTAAAATATATTTTCCTGATGCAAAGTAATACAAACAGCTGTGCATTTATTTTATACACTTTAAAAGTACTATTTAAAAGTTTGTTGTACATATAATAGTTCTATTAATATCTGAATTGTTCTGAAGAACTCTTTTTAATACTTAAATGGTTTGTTATGTGAGTTTTAAATTCTCACTAGGTTTTCCCGCCTATTTGTTTTTCAAATCTATAACTGACAATGCTCTACACCTGCAGCTCATTACTGATTTTCTGAAGATCAACAATTAATAACTATCAACTAGCACTCTCAACAGGTAAATGAATTCTTTCTTCATTTGTCTATTTATTGTATCTTTCAAAATGTAACTTGTTTCCTACCAATAATGTTATCTTTCTGTTATTTTTATTTTTATCTTAACAGAACATGTGACAAGTTCTGTTCAGCTAAGAATGCCTCTTCTTCTCTGGGTAGGTACAGAGAGGCTTTTTCTTCTTCTCCCTAATTATACTTGGGTTTATACATAAAAACTAAAATATACCCCATAATTTTTCTTGATAATAAAAAAATCAATTGTATTATTAAATAATATCTAAACTTAATATTCTAATATTAACAGTAATATTTATGAAAATATAAATAAACATTTTTTTAAGGTCCTATATAACATTTTCAAAGCATGTTTCTTTATAGAACCGTATGAAAAGCGTTTGCAACTATTCGGAACCAAAAGTGTTTCTGCTATTTTTACAAGCTTAAGAACCATACTTGGCACTAATTAGAATATTTTTTCTAAGAGTGTAGCAGTCAGGGGTGTGAGATAAGGTAACCTTACAAAACAATATAAAAATAGAATATGAGCTAATTTTGTTGCATGTAACAGTGATTTGCAGTGTGTATTTGTGGAAAACTTGTATGCTTTTAACTGAATGAGAGTAAAGTTAACACACTCTCTATTTCAACATTTTTAAAAATTTGTGATAAAACAAGGTTTCATGACCATTCACAATTAAAAATAAAGGTTCTCTATTGCCATTGATGGAAAAATGTTCTTTAAATGATTTAAAAGTTCTTTGCAGTTTAAAAAAAAAAGAGTGTGTATGTATGTGTTTAAGGAAGTGATTACATTTTATGAGATAATACAGACAATGAATAAGTCCTTTCTAGATACAGTAGATTTGAAACATTGCTGCATGTTTAAGCATCTATATTGGCTCAGCCAATGGTGTGAATTTGACTGCAAATATTACTATTTGTTTATTCAACCAGTGGCAGATGGGGCATTGGTTAGACTTTTATTTATTCATTCATTTTCCTTCAGCTTAGTCTCTATTTCAGAGGTTGCCACAGCAGAATGAACTGCCAACTATTTCAGTATATGTTTTAAGCAGCAGATACCCTTCCAGCCACAACCCAGTGTTGGGAAATACTCATACACACGCATTAACATTTACACTCATACACTACAGTCAATTTAGTTTATTCAATTCACCTAAAGCACATGTCTTTTGACTGTGGGGAAAACTGGAGCACCTGGAGGAAACCCACGTGTTCACGGGGAGAACATGCAAACTCCACACAGAAATACCAACTGACCCAGCCGAGGCTCAAACCAGCAACCTTCTTGCTTAATTTAATACAATCATTCTTTAACGGTGACATACTTAAATATCTGTTCAGGAGATTTGTATCATAACTGCGGGTTGGATGAAATGCCTTTAATAATTTGTTTTTTCTAGTCCCATAATCATGCCTGATAAATACACCTTTTGTTAAATCAGCATTTCTTTCTCTATTGAGATGCCATTCCACTCAAAACACATTTTCACATTCATTTGTACTGCTCTAACCAGGTTAATTCATTCTGCGAATGGTCTCTCTGAAGATCACAGCTCCCAAACAATTAGATTTACCACTGCTGTTATTTAACATAATCCTGTTGAATATTGACACTGAGCAAATCTACCACCTGATGTCAAAGCAATATTGATTTTTTTATTGATTACTGATTTGAGATGGCAGGTCCATCATTTCTTGGTCTTAACTTGGTATGAGGACAAAAGAGACTGACCTTTTAACAAATGTTGTGTGGATCTGTTGATAAAATGTTTATGTCATACAATAGAAATTGTGATTGTTTCAAAAGCTAAACAAATAGCTTGACTTGACTATACAAATGGGCGACGTAGTGGCGCAGTAGGTAGTGCTGTCGCCTCACAGCAAGAAGGTCGCTGGTTCGAGCCTCGGCTGGGTCAGTTGGCGTTTCTGTGTGGAGTTTGCATGTTCTCCCTGCGTTCACTTGGGTTTCTTCCGGGTGCTCCGGTTTCCTCCACAGTCCAAAGACATGCTGTACAGGTGAATTGAGTAGGCTAAATTGTCAGTAGTGTATGTGTGTGTGTGTGTGTGTGTGCTGCATTTGCTGCATAAAAACGTGCTGGATAAGCTGGCGGTTCATTCCGCTGTAGCGACCCCAGATTAATAAAGAGACTAAGCCGACAAGAAAATGAATGAATGAATAAATGAATGAATGAATGAATGAATGACTATACAAATGTACATCTATGGCAGAAATAAACTATTTTTATTCTCAGTTACTTTAATTTACTGCTTTTAATAGAAATAGGCTTAAAGTGTTAGCATTTTATTTATTCTAATATTTCTTTTAAATGTCAACAATATTGTCATTTCGAGAATTTCTTTCCTAGAAAATGACAGCGGGACAGAATAACAATTGTTTCAATCATGGTTACTCCACCAAATATTGATTTCTGAAATAATGTCAAAATTGTGTTGTCTAAAATAAACGTTACCATGTCTGAAGGAACCATTTTTATATTATTAGATTATTATTAATAAATATTTAAAAAATATTTCATTTAAAACAGAACAAATGCCATCAGTAGTTTACAGAACCAAACACACATTATGATTTAATCAAACACAGAACTATAAATTGGAAATCAAGAGGAGAACATTCTAGTGGTCTCTTAATTTTTTCCTTAGATGTACAACATTTTAGTTTTTTTATTGTTTGAAAAAGTTTGTTTCAATTCGTCATTACTCATGAAAGATGACAGAAACTCACAGATAATCCTAACACAAGTAGCTACACAAATACACTGTCTGGAGGGGCACTCGGGGTCTCTGCAGTAACTGATACCCATCAGCACCATTGATCAACGTCAGCTATGTTTGATTACATCAGACACTCCATTGTATCTTTCTTTTTACAGTGACGCAAACTGAGGCACATGTTCACATTATTCCTATTGCAGCCTGCACAAACTGTGCTATCATCCGGAGCTACAATCTACACACACAAACAGCATAGAAATGATGTATTTTTAATCCCGAATATATATCGAGGTTGAAAATTCCCAAACTCCCGTTACAAATTATTCTAGTACGATTTCTGATAAGACTAGATCAAAAATCATCTCCAAAGCCAACCAGGAATACCAAGTAAACAGAAATCCCTAAGTTACATTTTCCCATAAACTCGTATAAAACTGAGACCAAGCCTCACTTGATTCCCTCTTTCCTTGCCACTGATAAATGGTTAACAATTTTTTTGGTTAATGGTAAGGAGTGCAGAATCTATAGACACAAAAAAGACAAGTGATTCTAAATATGTAGTCAATCATTTCTAGCCATTGAAAACTGCTTAACACTATAGAATTACATTATGTTCAGGCTTGAAAATTACAATTAACCTATTATTTTATTTTATCTTATATGACACCTTGTGACTTTTCTGATTTAGGATCATGGCCATGCATACACAATTTCAACATTCTAATGTGTTGCAAAATGGCTTGACCAAATTTTATTATTATGTATTTGAGGTTTGCAGGTCAATATTTTGTTTCAAGAAGGTGCACAGAACTGGGGAAAAAATCTAATAAAATGTCAATTTGACCCTGCCTTTAAAAACTACCTTAATTTTTTATCATAATACAATGAATATAAGGGTTGAATACAAGGGTTATTGAAACACATATTCAAGTGCTGATATATTTAATATTAAAGATGTTCATACAACATAATATTTTGGGGGCCATGAAAGTTTTGTTAAAATGACCATGCTGTTTCCAAATGTTTTAGAAAATGCCAGCAGAGAAAGGTCTATTGCCAGGTCATAGTCAGCCTTTTCCCCAGAATATAAGACTACAAATTGACATTTTACCTCTTAAATACCATTGCAAATAACACTGGAGTTATAAAACCCAGGTACTCACACTAAAACCAAATTCTTTCTTAAAATGCTCACAAAAACCTGCCAAATGCAGAGTTTGAATTTAATGCTGTACAACATCACTGCTATAAACTAAACCAAACACTAATGTTGGAAAATAGAGGGTTAGGTCAGATTAGTAAAAAGGTTATGACACTCACCTCTGGTTCCACTTTTGAAGGCTGAAGCACAAAAAGCTGCAGAGCTACTCAAAAAAATTAGGATGAAAAGAAAAACCACATAAAAATATTAATATATTAACAGAAGTATTGTTCAGAAATTCATTTATAATGAGTCAGCAACCTTTTTATCACCATAACATAAATCTAAACGCTGAATCTTGAGATTTTAAAGAACAGATATTGATTCTCTCACCTCCATCAAGCACTGCCAGCACTGCCAGGATAAGAAAAGGAGCTGTTTTACCAACAAACTCATACATGACACTGCCAAATGGAGGACCAACTGTACAAAACAAACAAATATACAGTATAAATTAGACAAGAGTGACCACTCACAGACTTGTGCAACCAACAAAGTTTCTTTGAAAAGTTTTGATGCTTTGTTTTAAAACAGGCCACAAATCCAGTACTAACAGCCCTTCAAAACAAAGTACATAACCATAATTGCCAAACCACAGTAAAAAAAAAAAAAAAAAAACTAATGTGTTCCGCAGGAGCAGTACCTTTACAAATATCTGGATGAATATAGTTTTATGTTTTAATCAAAATTATTGTGCTCCATTTTCCGGTTGCTCTCCATTTGATTAAGTACAGTATGACGACAGCAACATTTAATCACTGTTTTGCAAGATGGCTCTTATCCAGTAGATCAAAAATATATTTTTAAACACTTGACATTATGAATAAAAATAATGGACTATTAATGATTAAACATCCTGAGATTAAAGCATGATGCCATTATCGGGAAGCACTGTGTTCTTCTGACCACTGCTCCAGGGCTTTTTAAAGTCAAAGCCACTTAATGCATATCCACCCCGCCGACGTATGATATCTCTCTTCATGGGATGAGTTCCAAAAAGTAAACTAGGACTTTGTCAATTTCTCTTGTGCCAAACAAGTATTGTCAATGAAAATATTGAAAAGAATTTTAAACAGATCATGCACCTAAAACTCCCATTGCTAGTCCTCCCAGTGCAATCCCAATAGCGTTTCCTCGTTCCTCGTCATCTGTGTAAACACTTGCCAGCATCCCCATACCTACACAATAATAAACAGACAGCTTTATCAGGAGTTACAGAAGAATGTACAGCAAAAAATATACAAACTTTTCACCCTTTTTGATTTATTTAAATAGTCCAAAAAACAAACAAACAAACATACATTTACTAATCAACATGACTAACACAACATACATATAAACAATGCTTTTACATTGTGTACATACAGTGCATCCGGAAAGTATTCAAAGTGCTTCACTTTTCCAACAATTTTCATGCTATAAACTTATTCCAAAATGGATTAAATTCATTTATTTCCTCAAAATTGTACACACAATACCCCATAATGACAATGTAAATTTTTTTTAGAAATTGTTACAAATTAATATAAAAAACCTGAAAAATCACATGTACTTATAAGTATTCGCAGTCTTTGCCATAAAGCTCTAAATTGAGCTCAGGTACATTCTGTTTCTACTGATCATTCTTGAGATGTTTCACCAGCTTAATGAGAGTCCACCTGTGGTAAATTTAGCTGATTGGACATGATTTGAAAAGGCATACACCTGTCTATATAAGGTCCCAGGGTTTACAGTGCATGTCAAAGCACAAACCAAGCATGAAGACAAAGGAATTGTCTGTAGAACTCAGAGACAAGATTGTCTCGAGGCACAAGGCTGAGGAAGGTTACAGAAAAATGTCTGCTACTCTGAAAGTTCCAATGAGCACAGTGGCCTCAATCATCTGTAAGTGGAAGATGTTTGGAACCCCTAGAACTCTTCCTAGAGCTGGCCGGCCATCTAAGCTAAGTGATCGGGGAGAAGGGCTTTAGTCAGTAAGGTCATTAATAACCAGATGGTCATTCCGTCTGAGCTTCAGCACCTGTATGTGGCCAGACGGAAGCTACTCCCTGCCTGGAATTTACCAAAAGGCATCTGAAGGACTCTCAGACCATAAGAAACAAAATTCTCTGGTCAGATGAGACTAAAATTGACCTCTATGGAGTGAATGCCAGGCATTACGGGTCGAGAAAATGAGGCACCGCTCATTACCAGGATAATACCATTCCTACGATGAAAAATGGTGTTGGCAGCATCATGCTGTGGGGATGTTTTTTAGCAGCAGGAACTGGAAGACTAGTCAGGATAGAGAGAAAGATGAATGCAGCAATGTACAGAGATATCCTAAATAAAAACCTGCTTCAGAGTGCTCTTGACCCCAGACTGGGTCGACGGTTCTTCCAGCAGAACAATGACTTAAAGCACACTGCCAAAATATCAATGAAGTGGCTTCACAACAACTCTGTGAATGTCCTCGAGTGGCCCAGCCAGAGGCCAGACCTAAATCTTATTGAACATCTCAGAAGAGATCTGAAAATGTCTGTACACCGTCGCTTCCCATCCAACCTGATAGAGCTTGAGAGGTTCAAAGAGGAATGGGCAAAAATTCCCAAAGACAGGTGTGCCAAGCATGTGGCATCATATTAAAAAAGACTTGTGGCAGTAATTGCTGCCAAAGGTGCATCAACAAAGTATTGAGCAAAGACTGTGAATACTTGTGTACATGCGATTTTTCAGCTTTTTAATTTTTAATAATCTTTCAACATTTAAATTTTTTTTTTCACATTGTCATTAAGGGGTCTTGTGTGGAGAATTTTGAATAAATTAATAAATACATTACATTAAATAAATTAATGTAATCTATTTTGAAATAAGGTTGTAACATACAAAAATGTGTAGTAAGTGAAGCGCTATGAATATTTTCCAAATGCACTAAATATTTAAACACAAAGGAAATAAAAAATAAAAAAAAATCAGTTGAATACAAGTAAAACCTGACAGCATCAGCATCAATTTGTCCACTTACAATTACATTTGGCATTGGAAGTAATTTATGAAAGGACACCACATGGCAGTGATCTTGGACCCTGAACTATTTAACTTAAGTCTTATTATTTCTAAACTAAGGACATGCAACACATCATTGGTCCACTGTTTAAAAGAAGGGAAGTTTAAAATTGAATAAAATCAAGCGTCGTGCCAAAAGAGAAGTAAGGGCAATGCAGGCCATTCCACTTTTGGACATATTATTATTATCATCATATACAACGCCAAAGACAGCAGTTAAGGGATTTGCACAAATATGTTTAAGATGCAAACTTTTTGGATTTTAATTTACATGAAAGAATGCAATTATCAACTTGAACATACTAATGTTTTTAAAAAGTTAAAATAGGTTAAAACCCTGTTTCTTTGTCATTCAGAGTAACAGAAATATTATTGTAAAAACAAAACATTCTGTTTTTTTCGATGTGGACTTATTAAAAGTTGTAAAATAATGAATCATCATGATTATTCCAATTTTTGTAAAGAATGAAAAACCTTTTATTGACAAATTGGTCAAACCTAGTGATTAAAAGGATAGTTAATAACACAGTATAAACATTTAAAATTACCATTTAATTTATGATAATAATATGACATAATAAATTAACATTTCTTTTGCCACATTCATATACAGTATGATGGTTGATTCAGTAAACTCTGAAAACGTGAATTCTAATAATAACTATTAAGATTCTAACATTGATTAAATTTGATTTGTTAATTGAAATAACTAACTTAGGAGTTTCAAGAGTCTATCCAGATCTAAGATCTGTAACCCTTTAACAGGCATTGTAACCAGCTGGTTAACCTTTTGTCCATAAATTATCATTATCATAGATTATCATAATATTTATCAGAGTTGTGTCAGTATATTATCTAATTCATGTGTGCGCTAAAAAAAAAAAAAAAAACATTTTCAAGTAGTGCACCTTAAAGGGTTAAATGAGAATGGGATCCATTTTACACTACTGTCATTATCAGCAGATGTTTGCATACAGAATTCAAAGAAAACCAAAGTCAAATGCAATTCAGTGCACTCAGGTTTGCAAAATATGCTAAATAAGGCATCATAAAGAATTTCATTGCAGCATTTGACAGGTTTTTTTTAAATTCTAACATAACATTGCACAAAACATGTTACCTGCCACAGAAGAACAGGACGAGCCAACACCTTGCAGAGATCTGGCCAAAAACAGCAGCGTGTAGCTTGATGAAAAGGCAAACACTTCACACAGAATAAAACCCAGACAGAAGAAAGAGGAAAAGTAGATCCATTTATCGTATGAATATGACACACCAGAGAGTTTAGCTGCTGTTATCATACTTTAAAATCATGCATTGCACATCTGCAAGATCTTCTCAACTGCTTTCTCTTAGAAATTAGATTAATGTTAAAAGCAGCATTAAAAATATATATGTTTTATGTACTCACTGATCGTAGAAACAAACATGATGCAGAAACCAGCAAACATTGGGATCTGGTATCCTATTCTGCAATTACAGATAAGAAATGCTTCAGGGATGTATCGAATAAAACGCAAAACTTTAAAGTGCATCAGCATTTTTTTTTTCACAAACATTTTGAAGTGAAATGTTTTGTTACATGTTGCAGTGTTTCACTGAAAAGAAATATGTTGTGATTAAGTTGTAAAGACTGGATGAAAAGTTTTTTGGAATATTTATATGAAAAACTATTTTAAATCAATTCAATTCATGTTTATTTCTATAGTTTTCACAATATAGACTGTGTGTCAAAGCAGCTCAACATAAAAGTTATAGTAAATTGAAACTGTTAGACCAGTTTTTAGAGTTGAAAATTTAAGTATTTTAAAATATTGAAGTTTTTATTTACTTTAAAATTTATGTTCAATTCAGTGTGTTGCTGTTTTTTGTAGCTGTGGATGTAAAATTTACTGACAAAATATTGATTAAACATTCATTTTCCCAATAGTCTGACATCTCCTATAAGAAAAGATGCTGTTTTACTACAAGAATTATAAAATATAATGTGTTTTGTGTATTTTTTTTTTTGCTTTGTCAAATTCTGTGAAAAAAAAACATTGGTGTATCATTCGTGTACACTGCTATGTAATATATTATGGTTGAATAACTCTGACATGAAGCCACCGGTTTGCTCTAGTGGGATCCATTCAGTGCTGTGGTGCCAAATTTAGCTGGATTGGCCAAATCTGAGCATGTGAAGATATGACGGCACATGCACGAGTGATCACACTACTGCTGATCCTTGAATAGATAGAGCTGTAGCAGAATAGCACAGCAATATTCAACTTACTTACACTCCATTTACACTCAACACACACACACAAATGTCATGCAATCCCATCCTGCTTTTAAGAGAAACACTGCTGTGTTTTTTTTTTTAAGTTAAACTAGCGGCTGTACCTGTTGGTTAGTGGTCCTATGAAGGGGTTAGTGATTAGCTGTACTGTTGCTTTAGAGGCAAACAACAGACCCACTTTCACATTCTCGTTCAGAAGCTGGTCATCTGCTTTGGGACAGTCGGACTGGTTTTGAGGGCTCACAAAAGTAGGAGCCAGGCTCATTGGACCAGCTGTGCTCATCTGCGGGCTGAAGCCTGTCACACGTGTGGTGTTGTCATACAAAGACACAATGCTCTGAAAGGTGCTCGATGGAGAAAGAGGGGTCATGGAGTGATTCTTAACCATCTGAGCAGCCTCGTCGTCCACCGTGTACAGGTAACTTGGGATAATAGGCACTAGAGAGATGAAATAGAGGAAACAACATAACCACCGTGCTGAAAAAAACATTAGAAACCATTCAAGAATTTGTATTTCTTTCAATGGTTCAAATGGAAGTTACATTGGTTTTAATGGAAAAATAATGAGTCCCTAGTTTTACCTTATTGGCGACATGTTAAAGCTAATTAATTTTAAGGAATGTGTCTTAAGCGCACAAGATACCATTAACATGTTTTATTGATTGAAGTCTGGTGGTTTTTAATGTATTTAATAGCATTTTTAAACCATTAGAGCCTCTTCTGTGTTTGTTTTAATCATTATTGTATTCATTCGACTTGTTCATAACCTGTTCAGAAAACCACAGATCAGATTTAGACAGCTAGAAACGCTGTTTAACACTTATTTGCTCGAAAAAGTGCAGTGCGACGATTTATCAAGCTGTATGAGACCACATTTGACCTTTCACGTGAACAATTGGGTCTGCTTAGATGCGTTTGACATTATCAAGCGTAAATAACCCACAGGGACACCGTGTGCGATAACGCTCGAAAGCCTCTTCACTCAACACTTGTGCCAAAGAACGACAGGTTCATTTTTCTCTTGGGTCCATCTGTATTTACACACACACAACGTATTCATCGTGTGTATTTCTAGCTTAATTGCCGTCCCCGTTTCTTGGCTCGCGGACGTGAGAACAAATAGAGACAGTTTAGCGCGCGTCAGTGTCACATTCAATGAGAGAGCGCGCGCGCGGATGGAGATCTGGCAGCGCTCGAGGACATGATACCTTAATTCAGGGACAGTTTGGAGTTTACAATCGCGTAGCATCGACAAATGCATTTCGTGAATTGTCTGTCGCGTATTAAAATGTTAGCCTGTTATTTCACTTTTTAATGCATTTTTAAGTTGGGGAAATATTTTTAATCAAACATCAATGTTTACGGTTTCAACGTGTATTCATCAGCCTAATTAACATACACATTGTTACTGGATCAATAAGGGTGTTCAACCAGGAATAATCTACAATCTTGGTTAAATCACGCATATTCTAGTCACATTATTATACGCCGTCGAGAATTAGAAATATTTTTCCTTCTGCTTTTTTTAGTATATGTGTAGCCTAGAAATGCATGCATAAATAATGCATAAATAAAATATAGCAATTTAATTTTAAGGTCCGTGCTTATTCGACTTTTTGAGAAAAATGGAAACCATCAGAAAATGTGTAATGTTATTATGGAAATTATATTGGGTTTAATGTAAAGTAATAGTGGAGTCAGATAATTTGTTGCACTCTATTGATGGGATGTTAAAACAACACATCCTAATGGAAAATGCCCCAAAACCTTATAGAAGCCATTCAAACGTACTGGTTTTAATGGTTACATTTATCTAGTTTGTGATATTTGTATTGGAAACCATATAAGATATTATGTGATGCTCTGTTGTTTCATTTTCAGCAGGACTATTCAATATTCACTGACAATATATGAGGTGATATATATAATACATTGTTTTTTAGCACTTTGCATGCATGTTTGATGTGTGCTCGCACATGTAACAGGTGTGTGAACAACACAGCACTCACCGACCACCGTCAACAGCATGTTGTCCAAGAGCAAAGCAATGAAAACGATCAACAGAATCAGCCTCCGAGACTGTCTTTCTTCTCTTAGCCATGTTAATAAACTAAAATCTCTAAGAGCATCAAATAGTCCCATTTTAAATATAAAAATCCAACTGCCAGAGAGCGAGGGAGAAATAACCTGCAACAGAGCAAGAAAACGAGTGTCAAAGACCACAGTGACATCTAATAAGGCAAAATGTGTTTAATGATCCTGCAAAGAGAGGCGCCCGAGGAGATGGCCATTGTAAGGAAAACGACAAATATTTAAGTATAAACAAAGCATTAAAATATAAATGCGTGCACTTGAGCACTCTGAAAATTATAAACTACCAACTCAGTTTTTATTTTAAATATAAGTCTAAAATTATGGGCTGAATTATACATCGAAATAGATATATTCAGAATTTGATCATTCTTACCTTATAAGCACATTTGCATTGAGCTTTGCTGTCAGATCCCGGGTGAAAGGCACGCTGGATGCGGAGCTTTTTAGTTGCTTGACTGGTGTTTGACGTCACGCTGTTTCACAGAGATCTCAAATGGGGTGTGCTGTGCCACGAACGAATTAACCATCACAGTCACACACACAAACACACACAGTCACACACAAATAAAAGATAGACAGGATCACCTTATTTGCTTTTATTTTGTATATTTTACCCATTTATTCAAAACATATACCAACATATGTTTGAGGTCTTCAGAAAGTTCTCTTTAGGAAGTTCTTTGAAGGCTATGCATGCTTGTATTGTGTGCAGATAGAATAGTCTCCACACGGTCATGTATGTGCTTTAAGATTATGATGCTGTTGTTTTAATCAGCTTGACTGGTCTTAGGAAGTTATTTACAGAAGGAAAGCTGCATTCACTTGTTGAGTTTAAACAAACTGTTTGGCATCGGTAAAATATCCAAATGCATCATCTAGTTTAACCAAAAGTCTCTTTTTCAGCAGTTTTACATTAGCGCCATCTTGTGGTGGTGAAAGATATGAGATGTTACATTTATTATTTTGGTTTTTCAAGTCTGTTCCTGGAACTTCACTGTTTTGCTAATTTCCTCGCCAACGCTAATAAAACACACGTGAACCAGGTAACCAAAGTCATTAAAATCACTAGAAACTGCTGGTTCAACTCAATTATAGATGATTGAGTTCATAAAATGAAAGGTTCTTAAATGAAAGCAGTTTCCATAAAGAACCTTTAACATCTATTGAACATGTTAGTTGCACAAAAAGTTATTTAAAGTGCAATAAACGTTTCTGTAGATCGAAATGTACTTTATGCTAAATTGGCTATTTCAGGAACTCTTTTCAGAAAGATTATTTCTTTGTGGAACCCAAAATGGATGTTTTTGTATTGTGAAACCTTCCTTTTTGCACAAACACTTTTATTTGGATAAACCCTAAACCTAGCAGGAAAACTGCTTTTCAGTATAGGTTTAGGAACCATAATTGTGTTCAAGTAAACCTCTCACTTTGGGGAAGCAACTGTAACACCACTTGAGACATGCTGTAAAGTTCAAGCTACATTCTTTTATTTGTTGTTTTCTTTGGGAATCAGTCTCAGGGCTGTAGCCAGGGGGGGTTCGGGTGGTTTGGAAGACCCACCCCACACTGACAATGGTTCAGAATCTGTCTCATACATGAGCTTATTTGTCTTTTACTACTATGCCAACATAAATAGTGAAAATAACCTATTGGAAAAGGCTTTAAGACTGCTGGCTGTCACTTCAGTGTAACTTAAGCTAATCAGGTTTGGCCAACTCTAACAATTACTTTTCATGAGTCCAACATTTATCTGTGAAACGCAAGTGAAGTCATCTTCCGCTACTGTATTGTTTTTAAATACAGGACATTTTACAAGTAACTAAATATTATTATTTATATTTTAATACTTTTTTATTCAAAAGGCCAAATTCTGACTGAGGAAAATTGAATGTGCTGGCCAGTTTGATATTTACCTATTGAATGTGTAATGGAGGGTCTGACACAGAGGAACCCATTTGCGGTATATTTGTTAAACAGAGTTTAATACAAACAGCACACAGATGTTAAGCGTGTGCAAACTCACATAAAACACAGTTGTAGTTAGTCGAAGGGCTGGCGGCTGGCAAACACAAGGTGAGTATTCAGGCATGGGTCAAAGGCAAGGATCAAAGTCAGGATGAAGGCTAGAGTTCAGGGCAGGCAGCAGGCAAGACAGAGTCGAGATACAGTCCAAAGTTGTCAACAGGGAAAGCAGGCAAGGAACAGGGAACGCTCAGTAGTGTTAGCCAGGGCAAAACAAGACTTAGCACTGAACTGGAGTGAGAGTGTGGCTTATATAGGTGAGTGTGGGTCGTTAGCGGGATGAGGAACAGGTGTGTGTGCTTATCAGTTTAAGTGGATGATGTAATGTCTAGAAGTCCTGTGATGATGACCTCTGCTGGCCAGAGAGGGGAATGACTGGGACCGAGTCGGTGACAGAATGACAACAGGTTACCGTTTTTCATTTATTACTGAACAGATTCTTATTTTCTTAATTTTTCTAATTATAAATGATGAAATAAATTTAAAATTTAAAAGTAAGTATTTTTTCACATTTCTTTGTTCTGCATCTTTAGGAAATAGTTTTTGTAGGCTACATCAAAATGTGTGGTTATGATGACCACCTGACAAGCTAATTCAGCTAAAATAGTGCTTAAAATATACCTAAAATTCAGTATATAGTTCTCATAATTAAATAAAAAAATTGGCAAATAAACTTCAAAAAGGTCCTCTTTTTGAGAAAAAAAAACATCTCTTTACACCAGGCTGTCTACGGGCTATTGAATGGTGCAGGAACTGTAGCACCAGTTGAAACCAGTTATGCTTCAAGAAATACTAAAAAGGAATACAAACTCATGACTGGCACAGAAAGATATTTATTGATTTAATTTCAAAGTGCATTATTAATTTATGTACAATTTCACAGCCAAGACATCACAGGTGGTCGGTCAATTCATTTACATGCTAGCTTTTTTATTAGTGGATCAATTAACTTAAGAGACACACTCCAATTTAAATATAGCATTAATGCTATCAAGAAAAAGATGATGCATTGTTTAAAAAAGGCGAATCATATGTACACTATTATTTGCCATTGAATGAAAAAGCAAACTCACTGTCTAATATCATCATATATATTCCTGTCAGACTTATACGAGTTACAGTACATATATTGCGACAACATGAATAAAGGAGTTTTTAAATTAGACTGCATTGCTAGTGCGTACATCTAAACAAAAATAAACAATATGGCATGCCATTTTCCAAATAAAACAACTGAGGCCTCTCTCATGGCTCAAATAGTTAACATACTTCATCCTGTGCCTGATTCTCTCCTGTATTTGTTTACTGCAACAGTACTGTGGCTCATTCCCTTTCAACCCACAATATCAAACTGGCTGTAACATAAATTGAAGCCCATTACCATCTTATATTCGGAGTAGCTTTCTTCTTGTGCCATTAGCAAAGCCACAGAAACCGATTGCCTTCAGTTGTTGTTTAAGTCATTGTGAATTCTTACCTTGCCCATGCTTAGACTCTTTATACACCGCCTGTAAAAGCAAACAATTTGCGATTGGCCAAGTTTAAAGGCCATACTCATAATGGCCATGCCTGTGATGATGAACAAAAAAGTAACCATGAAGAATTTTGGGTGTTCAGGCACAATGTCGCCAAAGCCAATGGTGGTTAGGGTGATGAAGGTGAAATAAAAGGCATCAGAATGGTCCATCTGCTTCTCCCAGCATTTCAGAATCTGACTGCAGATCACCATGTAGGCAAACACCATCAGCAAGATGACCAGCAAAGGGACGTCCAACTGCTCCATCTCCTGTCCGATGTCGTTGAATAACTCATCTTTTGGGGTTGGCACACGGTCCAGTTCTGGGCATGAACAGGATTTTGAAAGAGTTCCTTTGATCCTGAAGCTCTCCCTTACAATAATGCGGTCAAAGATCTCTTTGTTGTTACGGAGCTGAAAGGACCCGCGCCTGATGGAAGACCTAGTTTGTATCACCTGTTGATTGTTTGTTGTCTCGAGCACCACGACATCCTGATTGAACTTATAGGTGCCGTCAGTATCAGCTTGAACTTGTGGGAGAGCTGATGTCTTTTCGTGGCTCTGAAGTCTCCATGACTGATGTCCTATCCATCTTCTGAAGAACAGGTTAAGGCGAGTATATGCTTTGGAGAGGAGAACAGCTAAGAGATCGCCCACATCCGAGATGACCAGCAGCATCAGAGGGATGCCCACCATCGCATACAGGACACATGCCACTTTCCCTTTACTTGTCAACGGATAAATTCGTCCATAACCTGATATACAAAAAAACAAAACAGAACAGAGTTACAAATTCTTTTAGCCACAGTACTGCCGCCTGCTGGAGGTCTTAATCAATGCATCAGAAACGCATCTACTCAGTTTTGGTCAAGGAAAGAAACATCTGGGGCCTCATGTATCAACGCTGCGTACGCACAAAAACTTTGCGTACGCCAAGTTTTACGCTCAGAATCGCTCACGTTTGGATTTACTAACAATGAACTGAACGTGGGAATGTGCGCAGGTTCACGGCAGCTTTCTGGCTGGCGTACGCACATTTTTTGTGCGTGTCTGTTTTATTTCCATTGGCGACTCCTAGAGGCAGTTGTGTTAAATTCTTCTCTACAAAGTGTCTGATCCTTGCAATGGCAGCTGTATGAGACGGGTTCATCTAGTAGGTATGTAAGATGTCCATACCATACAGTTGACCAGCTAAACATTAAAGCACAATTTGCAGCGGTCGCCTGTTTTCCCAATCTAATCTGAGCAATCTACCGCACACACATTGCTATAAAGACACTATCTGAAGATGAATTTGCATGCGTGAATCAGAAACATTTCCATTCAATAAATGTGCAAATAAAATATGATGCACAAACTTATTGATGATTCCTACTTGTCTTTCTCGTGATAAATAGTGGGCAAAATCTGATATGTAGCGGGGAAAAAAAGAAGAAAGAGTTCGACAGACGCTGGATTCGAGCCGAGTTTTTGCTCGAACGTGTCAGTACATGATCACATGCTTTTTATGAGGTGCGCCACTGAGACTGCTAAGGGTTCTGCAACATTTTACAGATATAAACCACACTATTTCTTTTTTAAATGCACTCAGTGCGATGTTCAGACCCAACTGTGTTAACCGTATCAGCTAAACTCTCCCACTCTATTTTTTTCTTTTGTTGTTAATTCCGGAGAACAAACTTGCAAATAACACCGCTTTTCTCCGGTCTACCTCCGAAAGCAGCACCTCCAATTCACATTCTGTTCAAAGTTTCTCTTTTTGCTTGATTTTGCCGTTGCTTTTTCGTTGGGTTTTACCATTAGCATAGTCATTAGCATATTCATACGGGGGAGGAGGCAGGGAGGGGTTTTGTGCTCGTGCATGTTGCGCTCAGTTTCACGTTCATTCAGATGTACAAAAGAATATGCGTGAGATTCGGCGTACGCAGTGTTTCATACATCTGAATTTTTTTCTGCGTACGCACATTTACAGCTTTGTGCGTACGCAATGTTTTAGTAAGATTTCCACGCAAGTCTTCGTACATGAGGCCCCAGGCCCGTAGCCAGCCTGTTGAAGTGAGTGGTTCTTTTTTTTCTCAAAAAGTTGACCTTTTTGCAGTTATTTGCCATTTTCAGATTTATCACATCACATATAATTAGGATATGAACAAAATAGCAATCTGTTAAAGTTTCACATTTAAAATTGTAGCCTGCTGTTGTTTACTAAATAACTAACTGACCAGCACATTCAAATTTCCACATTTCACATTCAAAAATTATAACATAATATTAAAGTAGAGCTTTACGATTTTTTGAGCCTCTCTTGTATAACATTTGTAAATTTGAAAATTCACGGATAACAATAATAGCTAATAATATCTAATAATATTCTAACAATAATAGTTAGAATTCAAATTAACTGTAATATGGGCCACTTGTGGTGTTTCACAGCAATTTATTGTTCATTTTTGGTTTAATAAGGTCCAAGATTTGAAATAAAGTTACTTGTAAAATGTTTTCTCTATTTAAAAACTATACAGTAACATAAGATGACTTGACTTTGTTTTCTTGCACAGCTGGATGCTTGACTAATAAAAAAAGTGGTTTGCATTGGTCAAAACTGATTAGCTGAAGTCATAACAGTCAACAGAGGATTACATTCTTTTCACAATTTATATTGGCATAGCAGTCAAATAGGACAAATAAGCTCATGTATGGGACAAATTCTGGACCTTTGTCAGTGAAGGATGGGTCTTTTGAAACCCTGAACCCGCTTGCAACAGCTGTATTGCCTAATGCCCTGTCATAGATACTAAGCTGAAAATAAAATGAATGAAATATTATTATATTAATTATTATATATTGCTAATAGGGATGTAACGCTATCAGAATTTCACGGTACGATAATACCTCGGTATGAATGGCACAGTTTAATGCCAGAATGGCATTTATTGAAAAATTTACAGGAAAAACAAAACTAATGAAAAGACTCGAAAAAAGTGCCAAAAGTGTTTATTTACCTTAGCACTGAACATATCAATGACATACAAATTAGCCATATAAAGTTTTGAAACAGGAACTTCAATTTTTTCAATTTTAATAACAAAAAAATATTAAACCATATAAAAAAATAAAGTTTCAATTTAGTATTGTTGAAAACTCATTACATTCAACATTTAATCACTCACTCACTTAGATAGAGATGGGTTTTTAAGGAAAATTATCATATAACTATAATCTGGTAAAAGCTGGGATCTCTGGGCATGTCCCCTGCAACAGAAAAAAACCCTCTCATTTGGGACTGAGGTTTCTGGGACAGAGAGATATGATTCAGCCAAGGCTGACAGCAGTGGGTAACATTGTGCATTGTCTTTCCACCACTTGAGAGGACAAGCCATGAGTAAGGTAGAGGTCTCTTTTTTAAGTCAATGTCTGCATCTATCTAACAAGTGTGCTGTGTTCTGCAGTCCCCATGACTGTTTTTAGTCGTATTCCCCGACTTATATTTCACCACAGTCTGGCATTGCCTGCATACTGTTTTTTTCTTTGTCTCTCACCTTTTCTCCTTTTTCGTATCTTTTTAGAAAAAAACCGAAATGCTTCCACACATCCGATTTAAAACTCGCTTTAGGTTCGATCATTTTCAGCTCTTTTTCTTCCCCGCTACTAGCAACACACTCCATTTCCCCATTACTGGATCTGTAGTGACAACAGACCGCAAAGGATGATGGCCATGCCTAGGCTGATGGGAATTGTAGTTCCCGCTACCTCCTGTTCGCCTTATTCGCCTAGGCAAACTTTTCTCAGAAATATAGTTTGATTCATGCGCCTACGGTAATATTGAAAAAAATTACTATTGCTGTATGACGGTATTTGCAATATTGTTACATCCCTAATTGCTAATAATAATAATAGTACTTTGTTTTTACAATGTGATGGTTTCAAAAGGGGCGACCCGGTGGCACAGTAGGTAGTGCTGTCACCTCACAGCAGGAAGGTTGCTGGTTTAGGCCTCGGCTGGGTCAGTTGGCATTTCTGTGTAGAGTTTGCTTGTTCTCCCCGCATTTGTGTGGGTTTTCTCCGGGTGCTCCGGTTTCAACCCACAGTCCAAAGACCTGCAGTACAGGTAAATTGGGTAGGCTAAACTGTCCGTAGTATATGAGTGTGTGTGTGTGTGTGTATGTTTCCCAGAGATGGGTTGCAGCTGAAAGGGCATCCGCTGCGTAATACATATGTTGGATTAGTTGGTGGTTCATTCCACTGTGGCGACCCTAGATTAATAAAGGAACTAACCTGAAAAGAAAATGAATGAATAAATGGTTTCAAAAGAGGTGACATTTATAGCATTGAGTAAAAAGGGGTTTATAATAGTAGTATATATGTATAGCTTACCAGCAATTTGTTGTGATTTTGTCATTTTATTATTATTTTATGGCATGCATAATGAACTTTTAACATCCATAGAATATTTCAATACAACAAACTTTTTTAAGCAGAAATGACTCTTTCTTTAGACATGAAATGTTCTCCATACCAAAAATCACTTTTAAGAAATAATTAGAAAGTAACTCTGGGGGACCAAAAATGGTTCATCTACAGCAGAAGTCTTCCTCCCTCCTGCTAATCAACTAATCAAGATTTTCAGCTTTTCATTTCAAATCCATAGGCAGATATGCTGAAGCAGGATGGAAATACAAATTTTAGGACTGATTCTGCAGGAGCATTGTTGAAAAGCTTCTGCTTATATAGCTCTGTGGTGAAAAGTCTTTTTTTATAATTTTTAAGTTCATAATTTAACATTTATAATTATATTTAATGTAGGTTTAGCTATTTTAGTTTTAAGTTAAACAATATTAAAATATAATATGATCTTTGCAACTTTATAAAATGTGTTTTTGTATTTAAATGCTTATTTTAAATAACAAAACGTATTTTAGTGTTATGGATTTACTTAACTATAATAACCCTGCACAAAATATAAAACAATAGGGTTGTTAAGATTTAGAAATATGATTACGATTAATACGTTGATTCAAATGAATTGAAAACACTAAACTGTTAAATCAGGAAAACTGTCACTGTTTTTTCATTGGACAAATACAGTAGCTCTGGCTGTAATTGTATGGCCAGGCCAAGTGATAATGTCTTTTATCTACAAAGGAATTGACATAGCGGATGATGTAAAAAAAAAAAAAGAGAAATGAACTCATTTAAACTGACCATTAGCCTCAACTGCCTCAAAAACCAATACTCATTTAGATTAGCTCCTGATTCGCCCTTCCTAGAAAGCATAATGGACATCCATGGCCACAGACTGCTGTGTTTGGCACTCTTGCATAATGCTTTTCTGTATGCTGTCCTGAAAGATGGAAGTTTACATTCAATTATTATGTTAGATGCGGTTTGCTGAGCTTTACAATTGGTGATGAGAGAGAGAATTTTTTTAACAGCATCCTACCCAGGCATAAAACTTAAACTAAAATGTACCATTAAGAAAGATGTAATGCACAGGAAATCATGATTTGAATGTAAGCCTCTCTGAAAAGAGGCTCATTAATGGTTTATTGGAAATGATTACAAGTGTTTAGAGCAGTGGTGTCAAACTCTGTTCCTGGAGGACCACAGCCATGCAGAGTTTAGTTCCAATCCTGCTTCAACACACCTTTTTACAGGTATCAATATGCCTAAAGGACTCAATTGGTTATATCAAGTGTGTTTAAGTAGGGTTGAAAATAAACTGTGCTGAGCTATGGCCCTCCAGGATCTGAGTTTGACACATTTGGTTTAGAGTGTGATATTGAGGCTTTCGTTTCAATACTGTCTTTAGTTTTAAAGTTATTCCATGAATGGGAAATTTTATTGCTGGTTTTGATTTACAGTCACATTATATATTTAATCTATATTCTAGATGTGGACCAAGAGTCTTAAAATGTTCTGTATTGACATCAATGGTTTCACTATAGGAACTTTTAACATGCAAATGACCTTTCGGTTTTAGGCTCTTTATAGAGAAACTGAGAAAAAGTGGGAACCAAAAAAGACTATTCTATGTCATGACTAAGAATACACCCTTGAAGATCCTTTATTTTTAAGAATGAATAGCCTTAAGATAGGGCTGGGCCGATAAACAATAACCATTTTTTAATTAATACTGATCTAAGATCCAATCACACAGCAGAAATGTGCAACAATGGGAATCTAAAAGTGTGTTGATATTAGAGATGTGCCGAGTTTTCGGCCACCTAAAATTTATCAGCCGAAAATATGTTTTGCCATTTAATAGACCCTCTAATTTTTGTGGCTTCAGTAATTTTTGGAGAACTCTTTTAAATCTGGAAGCATTAACAACTTATATCGAAATATATATCCTTATCATTCAATATGAAAAATAATTATTGAGATTGTATTTTTGCCATATCCCTAAACCCTACCTTGAGAAAAGCTCTGATATATAATGCTGCTTAGTAGGCATAGGACTATAAATGTTTTCAAGGTATACAGTGGTTTGGAAAAGTCAAGGTTTTAAAACCGCCAAAATTTTCTGCAATACTGTTCCTAAGATATGTGTACAATTTTTTATTTACGTGATATTTTATTTTTTTTATTTTTAGGACAGCAGTATCTTTAGCAGAAAACATATATAAAGATGTTACTTTAAATTGTAAAAAAAATCTGCTTTTAAAACAATTGAAGACAGCAGAAAACAAAATATGTTGTGTTCAAAAGGAAAAAAAAAGTTTTAGTTTTTTACCCAGACATTTAAAAAGAATATATTTTAGAGCAGTAATCATAATACTGGGGCGAGGCAGTGGCGCAGTAGGTAGTGCTGTCGCCTCACAGCAAGAGGGTCGCTGGTTCGAAACTCGGCTTAGTTGGTGTTTCTGTGTGGAGTTTGCATGTTCTCCCTGCCTTCATGTGGGTTTCCCCCACAGTCTAAAGACATGTGGTACAGGTGATTTGGGTAGGCTAAATTGTCCGTAGTGTGTGTGAATGTGTGTGTGGATGTTTCCCAGAGATGCAGCTGGAAGGGCATCCGCTGCGTAAAAACTAGCTGGATAAGTTGGCGGTTCATTCCGCTTGGCGACCCCGGATTAATAAAGGGACTAAGCCGACAAGAAAATGAATGAATCATAATACTGTGAATCTGTGATATTTTTATCCAAGGTTATCATACCGTCAGAATCTTATATCAGCCCATGTCTACTGCTGAGCCTCAAGCCACCTAAATACATGCCCTGATTTGAGTTCATTTGCTTTAATTCTCAAATAATAATTTGCAGTTATCAAACTTATTAACAGTAGTAATTTAACTTTAACCTTTGTTAATTAAACGAAAAGATAAAGAATTTAAAGATGAAGTGGAACCTGGATATGCATTATGGATTTAATGAATATCAATATAGAAACATTTGTTGATTGAAAAGGAAAATATTGGCCAAAAGTAGAGTTATCCTCCAATAAATGATGAACAGTTCATGAATCATTTGCATTGCACAACTTTGAGTAGACAAATGTTCAATGTTATTTAGTGTATAATTCACTTTTGTTTCCTACATAAATGGCGACACTTGTTTTCGGTCTTATCATGGTCAGGCTGGTTACTGTGGACAACGGTGGTGCACTCAGAGACTACAGCCAAAGGTCAGAACTTCTCATGCACATAACAACTCAGTGATTCATTTAATGCAACACCAATTTTGGACACACAGTACTGCATGTGGCCAAAATATCTTATTGTTCAGGTTAAAACCCAACAAAACCCAAAACTTTACAAGCTCTGTGACATTCCAGGATGAAAAAGCATACTCACCTACAGTAGTGAACACTGTACAGCAGAAGAAAAGTGAAGCAAAGAAGGTCCATCCGTGATCACGTTCCTTCTCATAACAGTAATCATCCAAAATGTATTTTGCTTTATTGATTAGGTGCTTCTGCTCTGAGGCGTCTAATTTATAAGATAAAATAGAAGAAGAATATAGTAAATAGTATATAATATAGCTTATTAAAACATTATTAATACATTGCCTACATTATTACAAAGAATATATAAATTATTAATAAAATAATTAATACGTTTTGAACACCGTAGGCTTAAAATTATACAAGCAGTATACTATTTTAAAAAGGCTACTTTCAGACCTGTGTGATTCTGAACGATCTCCATCACTTTTTGCACAATGGACAGGATCTCCTCCGACTCATTTCGAGGATTCGTGTACTCAATCGCTCTGAAGACAAGCGCTCCTAAAACCGCGTATAAAACGAGTGATAAAATTAGGAAAACATGAGGAAACAAACGCCAGAAGAGTGTCGAGCATCTCCCCGTAAACTGTCTCTTTTGTGACACGGACATCTCTCAGGTAGTCATTCAGTCAGTCAGAGACGCGTAATGGCTGTGGAGATGAAGTCTTCCTTCTCATGGCAGTGTGTGGTCAGGACTCAGGAGGACAACACCCAGCTGCTGAAGCAAGCCACAGATTCAAACTGCCTGCTCAACTAATGCTTATAGCTTAAACAAATATACGCGTGCTCCTCCTGAAGTATTTCAGAAAGGGAACTGAGAACATCACAGATTTACAAAGCAGCTAGTCAGTCTCTGTGCTGGAAAGTCAATTGTGAGCGCATTGTATGAACAGGTGCGGCTGTGTGAAATATTAGCCTCTTGATGCCGGAGATTCCCTTGAACCCCAATGGGCATTTATGAGTCGTGCCATGTGCCGTTTATGTCCCCTCGAGCATGTGTAGCCTTTGAAACAGTGATGAAGTGTAGATCTGAGTTGAATTTGTTGTTATTGGCATTGTTGTTATGAGTTGTCGTTGTTGTTATTCGATGTTCGTGTTTGTTTATGCGGAGAACATGCGAGTATGTAAACAGTAAAACCTGTATTAAAATTGCCTAAATTTAGGTTAAAATAACCACTGGTCTTCCAAGGTTGCGTATGAAAACCTGTTGACTGAGTTTTGTATGAGTCTAAAAATGTAGTTTTTGCTCTGATGTTATAGGACATACCCTATAATTTGCTAATGATTGGTCATCATAATGATATAAGCAATATTTCCTTAGTCACACATTTGCATATTTATATCTATTTCAGAGTATTTGAGAAAAAAAACACTTGTATATTAAAAATGCTTAATTTGAATAATCAAAACTTAACTTTAATGTGTTGTTGCTTGGGGTTGTTTCTTCCACTCTGGGCTGAGTTTTTGCTTAAATAGCTATAGCTTTTTCTGTGTTTTAGCTAGCAGGATGATTTATGAGAGTATGATTTGACATTTTGAAAGAATTATACACTCTGGGCAAATTTACTATACCATTTTATTATGTTCAGGATTAAAGCATCCACTATAAACTTAACAGCTGTAAAAAAAAAAAAAAAAAAAAAAAAGCATACATTTGTTAATCAACCTCAGTCCTGATCGAAACTACTAAATATGATTTTAACTCTTTAATTGACAAATTCACAAAAGATTCACTGATTTAGTAAAAAATAAAAATAAAAACACACAAACACACAAATCTGTGGACTAGATTTTTAAAACTTTTATCAAAGTCTTGGACCTGTGAAACAACATTGCCTTTGATGGGTTGTTTTTGACTAATTTACAATTGTTTCTTCATAATATATTGTTGGTAGCTGTTTTTGCACTTTTGACTTTCATTATAATCACGTTTTTGATTGCAAAGCCATGACACAGTTATGCATTTATATTTATTATCTAATAACTATCAGTCATATCTTGGATCTATTTTTAATAGTTGGAGGTAGTATTTCATTTATTTTTGTAACTTTTTGGGAGTTTTTCTGGACTTTCCTCTTAAGCCTTCAAAACTGTTGATCATCAATTGGCGCTATTAACCCTTCAGATAGGTGTGATAAAAAATCCAGTCCACAATCACTTTTTGCATTATTTTGTGTGTTTTGTCACCAAATTAGTGACATAATTTGTGAACTTGGCTATTAAGAAGTTTAAATCCTGTAATTAAAAAAAAACATTCAGTAGTTTTGATCAGGACTGAGGTTGATTTATATTATATTTATATTAATATTAATCAGTTTGTTAAAAATTGACGCATTAAAATAATTTTGTTAGTAAGATTCATAGCTAGTACAGTACTCATACAGTACTGTTTTTGCTTTAGGTGTGGCCATTTACAAGTGTCTTAACATGTCTGAATTATTTATGAGCATGCTGGCATGCACTTATCCAATTCACTCTTGTGCATCTCCAGTGTTTCGCTCGTCGTAGGATGTTAAAGATTCACTTGATTAGTCACTCTTTTTTATTAACTTTCCTTCAGCTTAATTAGTCACTTATTTATCAGGGGTCACCACAGCGGAATGAACTGCCAACTTATAATAGCTCATCTACACTGTAAGAAAAAAAATCATAAAAAAAGGTCAAATGACTGGCAGCTATACGGCTGCCAAACAAAAACCATAAAATTACGGTAAAATGTCTTTGTTGAAATAAAGTGCAAAAAATAATAAATCTACAGATATTTTCATTAAAATGTTTACAGAAAAACACTGTTATTTTACAGACTTTTCCTAGATTATTACGATCAAATCCTTTCAATAAAGGTATACACTAAGATTTTTTCAAAGAAACACTGTTATTATACAGACTTCTCCTAGATTATTATGATCAAACATCATCAATAAAGTGCCTGCACTAAAAGTTCAAGAGAAAACAATGTTATTTAAAAGAATTTTCCCTAAATCATTACGATTAAACACCTTTAATAACATGCCAAGACATGCTCATGATCGTAATTTAAGTTTTATTTTGGATCAAAAAATTTTGGAAAAAACAACAAACGAGAAACAACTGATTAAAATTCTCACAACTTTAAAATTACAGTTGTTACATTTTATTGAATAGTGTTTATGTAAAACGTGTAGAGGTTTAAGTTATATGGAATTATTCAGTTACAGATCTTAAATGAAATGGAACTGTAACATGAAAGGGACCCTGACAAATGGGTGCAGATCCAAAGGCGAGCAACAGTCATCACAGGGGCAAATAGATGTAACATTTTGCAGGGAATCCAGAATCATGGTCAAATAACAGGCAAATGGTCAGTCCTGGCAGCAAACAACATAAACAATTAACAAACAAAGCAAGGCAAAAGAAGAGAACCGCGTCATAATGTTCACAGTAGCAGTATAAAGACTAAGCAATTGGCGTGTGCGTCTGTGCTGCTTTTAAAGTGCATGTAATCAGTTCATAACGATCCTCCGACTGTGTGTGTGCAATCAGCGGAATCTGAAACAGGTGTATGTGAGCACTCTTAGTGTGTTACTTTATTAAATGGATTTGATAGTAATAATCTAGGAAAAGTCTGTAAAATAACTGTGATTTTCTGTAAACATTTTAATGAAAATATCTGTAGATTTATTATTTTTTGCACTTTTTTCAACAAAGAAATTTTACCTTAATTTTATGGTTTTTGTTCGGCAGCCGTAGCTGCCAGTCATCTGACCTTTTTTTTACGATTCTTTTTTTTTACAGAGCAAGTAATTACAATTTATTTCTTTAATTTTACATAATTTTAAATGTACTTAAAAAACAGGAAAAAAACACTAAATAATATGTCATTTTTTTTTGTAAAAAAACAGACACATTGCTGTAATTTGTCATTAATTATATAGTACATAAAATAACAGTCACGCCGTTAATTTACAGATAATGTTTGTAATTTTTACGAACTTTTGAATTTAATTTAAAATAACAGAAAAAATACTGTATAAATAATACTGTAATTTCCCTGTATAAAAAACACAAATGTCAGTAATTTGTCTTTAATAATAAAGTACCTAAAATGAAAGTCAAATGTTTAATTTAGAGAGATTGGTTGTCATTTTACTAAGTTTTGAATATAATGTGAAATGACAAAAAATTACTGTAAAAAATTTAAGGATATTTTCTGTAAAATTAGTTTTTTTTTGCAGTGTACGTACTTAATGCTCTTGAGAGGAAGTGACCTGAACGTCTGACTGAAATCCTTACACATGTCATGACTGCACACTTCTGCACTCAGTTTCACTTGGCATCAAAAATCTAAATCTAAAAACAGAAGCAGTGTGGCAGAAGACCACGCTGCCCATATTAAGCCAACCACACCACTGATTTCTCTGTATACAAGCAGTCAGGAGCCTTGACAGAACCATTGTCTGGTTAATGTTGTAAATGATAAATATTTAAGCAGAAAGCCATACTGTTTGCCACCCACAGATTCCAGTTCAGCTACTGGACAGATGCAGATTCTTCTTAGTGTCAGCCTAGTAATTCATTGTAAGCGTTGGGAGTCTGTTTATAGTTCTACACTAATGCCCTAGATTTGAGATGAGGACAATAACTTGGGGGAGAAAGCACATGCAGGAATATTCTCCTTTTTAAATTAAATTTTAAGAGTTCACACTTAGCGAAGCATGTTTGGCATGCTGTCCTGGGAGAGAGCCCTGAGCTAATGAGAACCTCGAGCCCAGGTCTCCCTCCCGTTCGTAGGGCAAGATTTGGCCTTGCATTCCGCACATATGACGCACATTTGGGCGGTGGGAGGAAACAAAACCTGGGAACCCGGGGGGAAACCCATTTGGACACGGGGCTCTTCCAGACAAAGATAATTGTGGAATGAAGACTGTGGTTATTTATAGTGACTTAGAAATTATCTGATTGGAGGATCATGATTAGCTAATGCGGGACCGGCTGTGGTAAATCATAAGCATGTGATCCTCTCGAAATTAGTTTATAAATAAACTTCACTTCTTAAAGATATTTGCTAAAATTAATATTAAATTAATATTAAACTGAATCATAATAGGGTGTTACAGTGGCGCAGTGGGTAGCACGATCGTCTCACAGCAAGAAGGTTGCTGGTTCAAGCCTCGACTGGGTCATTTGACATTTCCTGTGTGGAGTTTGCATGTTCTCTCCGTGTTCATGTGGGTTTCCTAAGGGTGCTCCGGTTTCCCCCACAAGTCAAAGGCATCCACTATGCAGTAGGTGAATTGGGTAAGCTAAATTGTCCATAGTGTATGTGTGTGTGAATGAGTGTGTATGGATGTTTCCCAGTGTTGGGTTGCAGCTGGAAGGGCATCTGCTGCATAAATGATATGCTGGATAAGTTGGCGGTTCATTCCGCTATCGCAACCCCAGATTAATAAAGAGACTAAGCTGAAGAAAAACAAATGAATAATACTTCGTTTACTGTTGATTGTTAGAGATTGCTGCCAATTGTCTGGAGATTAAAATATTTAATTATTAAAACATCCAGTCGTTTATGCATTTTAGTCATGAAGTAGAAGTCAAAGTTTTGTCATAATTATCCCTCTTATCATAATTAGAACTTAAAACCTTGACTTTTGTCAACTTCTACTTTTGTCATGATTTTCACTTTTTAAATCTGTCATAATTTTGACTTTATTAGGGTATCGTTTGCTTATTGTATCATTTTTGGCTTTCAAAGACTTATTTTGGTCTATTAGCCAGCAGCTTGCTCTCTGCAACTTTTACATGGTCACCCACTGAAGCTAAGCAGGGCTGTGCCCGGTTAGTACCTGAATGGGAGACCACATGGTAAAGCTAGGCTGCTGCTGGACGTGGTGTTAGTAAGACTGTGTGGGTCCTAATGCCCCAGTAAATTGACATGGACTCTATACTGCTCAGTAAGCGGCATCTTTCGAATGAGATGTTAAACCGAGGTCCTGACTCTCTGTGGTCATTAAAAATCCTAGGATGTCCTTTGAAAAAGAGTAGGGGTTTAACTTTGGCATCCTGGCCAAATTTGGATGCTGGGGCCTCGGTTCCATTATGGCCTCCTAACCATCCCCATATCATAATTGGCTTGGTCACTCTGTCTCCTTTTCACCAATCAGCTGGTGTGTGGTGTGCAATCTGGTGCAATACGGCTGCTGTTGCATCATCCAGGTGGATAAGGAGATTCCCCCCAAAAAATGTGTAAAGTGCTTTGAGTGTCCAGAAAAGTGCTATTTAAGGAATTATTTACTTTTTTAAACATATTTCAGGATTTTGACTTGATTTTATCATAATTTTTTGAATCTCAGTTTTGACAATTTGTCATAATTATGACTTGGATCGTAATTTTAACACCAGAATTATACATCACAATTTACACTTTTGTCAAAATTTGAATTAAAAGTGATGCTTTGAGGAAGGTGAAGGAAACTCAGACGGCGATACAGAATATTAAAATTTTTATTCAATATCTGCTCCACGTCTCATCTCATATTACGAGATTGTTTAGCACAAATAACAAGACAACAAAGTAATTTAACAATGCAGAATTTATGATTGACAATGAAAAAAAAAATAAAACAAACAAAAAAACAACAACATGCATTTACAGTCATCATATCATAAGCCAACACTCTGTTTGCTTCTCAGATTAATCATTTGGCAGTGTAACGCAAAGCATAATTAACAGCTGAACAATCTGGATTTTTCCAATTAAATTAACAACCCATTTCTTATTTAGTACTTCAAAACCTTTCATGACCCAACACTGGACTTTTCAATGGCCTCAAAAAAATCTAATGAAATTACACACTAATAAAATTGATGTGTTTTGGCCACATATCAGTACATGTTGCACATTCAAAGGTCTGATTCCTCTGTCAGAACACAAAACCAATCAATTAATTCGGCTGCTATTTGAGTGTATAAGAAAATAGTGTTTCTATCCTGCAGGTTTACCAGCGTGCAGGTCACTGAAGTGCAGTGCGTTGTACAAGTGTGTGGCTGGGCATCATATTAAAGTGCTTCTGATAGTCCTTCCAGTCATAAACGGTGTACAGTCACCGATTGTACATTCACCCTACAGGCTCATCCTTCAGTCAGATACCATCACTTTCTATTTAGTTCTTGCTCCAGAAAGTTTCAAACACTAGGGCTTTTTTTTGTTTAGAGAGAGATTTGACGATCTTCCCTTTTTCTAGCGGAAGCACACTTTGAATGGACAAACTTTTGAAAGAAGAAGCCCTAAAATACCTTCCTTAACTAAACATAGGGGTTATTCGGACCGTGTTGTACAGTGTTAAATAAATAATACATGTTATTTACTGTACAGATCACCCTATCTACACACTCTTATATCATTAGTTTCATATGTAAACATTCAGTTTTTGTGAATTAATTGTCACTGAACACAAACGTTCTGTAATAATAGGATGCTTTCTGAACCTTATCTATGGTTCTTTTATTATTGTTTTTCAGTCATGCACTTGGGTAACCCTAAAGGGATAGTTCACGCAAAAATTAAATTCTGTCATTTATTCACCTTCCACTTGGTTCAAACCTCTCTGACCTTTATTTTTTCTTTTATCTAACACAGAAAGACATTTTGAAGATTGATGAAAACCAGCAGACATCATTTTTTCCTGTTTAATTACTGATGTTCAACATTCATAATAATTTGGAGCCACTTGAGGGTGAGTAAATGACAAAGTGATTTTTTTGAGTGAGCTATGTATTTACTGTTAAAACTTTTGGGGTATTCATTTAACCATTCAAATGAAAAGCATTCTTGCATCCATCTGCACCTCTTAGATTTAATTTAACATGCCAACTTTCACTGCATACAGACTACAATCACAAACTCCAATTCCATTGCAGATATCTTATTAGAAAGCAAAAACACATCCTGTGTAAATAACTGTGCGGAAATTTAAACAACGCCTCATCAAACAAACACTAGATCCCAAACAAATTTCCCCCCAAATCTCTTGTTTTTCTTCATTCCTCAGTTTAATACAGGAACAGATGATAATTAAGGAAAAGAAAATCTCCAGATAATAATAACTGAACACAATTATGCAATTAAAACACTAGGATGCATGTGCTCAGGATCTGATTTGAAGGACTAATGTGAAAAGCAAAACCGATCTCCCACATAGCTTCTCTAAAACTGTACTGCCTCTTGTAATGATTTAAGACCCCAAGCAACACTTTCAGACAGAAAACATTGTGGGTTTAACACATTATATAAATGTTTAAAGCATGTACATTGTTGAAGTTTGGATGTGCAAATGAGTATATTACATGTTGAGATGTATGTATATGTGTGTGTGTGTATGTGTGGAAGAAAGGCACTATAACTGAGGCTGTTTAGGTTTCAGCGTTCAGGAAGGTACAAATCTAAAAAAGATATTGTATTTGGACGACACTTTATTATTATTATTTCCCTAAAATAAACCTGTGAAATATTTAGAAAAGCTCCGGAATTATTAAAGTTGTTACAAAAAGATGTTTTAAAAAGAAAAATCTATTTTTCTACAAGTGTTCCAGTTTATTCAATACAGATTTGGCAGGTAAAAGTACTTTAAAATGACATTTTTCTACCAGACCAAAGACCGAAGGCCTGACCATTTCAAGAGCAGCAAAATTGAATCCAGTTGTTAAACGCTCTGCTCTACATATACATACCTGATAGGGACATTGAAATGCTTGGAATACTACAAAATGATTGATGTATATGCGTCACAGTGCTCAACCAGTTTTGCAGGGCTTGAAGGGAAGAGTAGCTCCTCTTTTAGAGTCTCAGGGCTCCAGGGGTCACGACTCTCTCGAATCCAGCTTACTGTACTTCACTCTGGTGCTTGTCAGAGTTCGCAACAAGAATGGCAGCTGGTAGTTTCGAGGCACGATGCCACGCACGTTAGTCTCAAAGTATTGAAATGGGCCGAACCACCACACACGAGAGAACATGTTTCCAGAGGATTTCTCCTTTAGAGCCTAGAGGACAGCAGAGGAGAGTTTAGAAATTAGGTACATGTAAAGCACTTTGTAAATGTAAATGTTACTCAAAAAAAAAAAAAAAATAAATTAATGTGATGTACATAAAAAAAAGTAAATATCTTCAAAAGCTTTAATTTTTAAAAACTAAATTTTAGGCCTTAAAAAGTCTTAAATTCATTGAATTATTGTCTTAAATCATTTTAAACACGTCCTAATATTCCTTTGTTCATGTAAAGCTTCCCATTCGATTGAACATATATCCAATAACCACAATTCATCTTAATAAAACTTTGATCAAAACTCTATTTATGATTAATGCTATAACAGTTTGTTGTTTAAGTTTTTATTTTTAAAGAGTTTACTAAGTTAGTATGTACACAATTAGGGCCTGGTTGTTTTGACACATTAATTTAAATATGTGGCTGAGAAATAAGAATTTGTTTTTTGAGGGGAAAGTAAAAAGAATTCTGCTGGGCCATCAAAAAAATTCTTAGCATTAAGCCCTATATACGTCTAAAATTTAATTCTTGATTGTCTTAAAAAGGCTTAAATTTGACTTGGTGAAACCTGCAGAAACCCTGTAAAAACATGTAGTATGTTTCAGAACTCTAAATTTCCAATAACAGAGTTTAAAATGAAGTCTAAGCACCCAAAATGACTCAGATTTTGCACTATATTGACATAATTGTGTGATAACAGAGAAAAATTTGAGCTCACTTCTACATTCTGGCCTTGAAAATGTTGTACAGTAAGTGAAAACAAAAATGCATGACCCCTTTAAATAACAATCAAAACAATCCATGTTTACACTTTACAATGTTTTTTCTTCATAATGTCTTGATAAATGTGTTTTATATTATATATTTAGAATATTTTGAATTGTTATTGTTAATAATAATTGTTAAGAATTGTTAATTATGCTTTATTATAATTCACTGACCACAATGAAAAGATATATAGTACAATATTAATGCATTTGCAAAGCATTTATATTTTTAAAAGGAAAACTTTTCATTTTGTTTTGGTGGTAGTATAAATATAATTAGTTTTAATGTTTCAAGAATAAAAAAAGAAAAGAAAATTAGCTTCTAAATAAATAGTTTAAATATATGTTTAAATATTTAATATAAATTCAAAAAATATAAAAATAATATAATATAATAAATAATATAATATTATTATATATATATATATAGTAATACATAAAATGTTATGGCATTAAATAAAACAAATTTTATACTGTAGTGAAATCTGATGAGTCTTTATAAAGACAAAGCAAACTGTGTAAATAAGAAAGGCATACAAATACTGATTACCACTTAAAAATAATGTTAGAAAAATGATAGAACCTGTAATTAATTAAGTTTAGTAACTAAATTATTTAGTGATCGTTGTAGCATGTAAAAAGCATTACAATTATGATCTAAATAAATATATGTCATTAACTGTTGCATCAAATTTAAGACACTTATGTGATTAATAATGAATAAATCATTAAGCACAGATCCGAAAAGAAATAATCAATTTGAAACTCCACATGTACCTGCTGATTGGCCATTGTGTGGTACCACCAGAAGAGCCGTGTGGTCATGAAGTAGGCCACTACCACATCAATGGTGTAATGATCATGAGCCAACAAAATACAGAAGATCCCGACCGCACTCAGACACCAACAGATCGAGTGATACCACCAAAACCTCCGTGGAGAGTCTGTCACGCAATAACCAAATACATAAATAAATAAAATCAATTTGTATTCATTTAAAGTGCAAAAGTGCTCATGTTTTATGCATGCTAGATGTGTTTTCTCCTTGATGTCCACCAGATGGCAATATTAGCAAGCTCACAACAGCATTTACAGGCTCCAAATCACATTCGGTCTGCTCAAGTCAGGGGTGTCCACACTCGGTCCTGGAGGGCCAGAGTCCTGGAGAGTTTAGCTCCAACCCTAATCAAACACACCTGAACAAGCTAATCAAGCTCTCACAAGGTATACTAGAAACTTCCAGGCAGGTGTGTTGAAGCAAGTTGGAGCTAAAGTCAGCAGGACACCGGCCCTCCATATTTGGTGCCAGTTTGAAACCTTCAAACTCACAGTTAGTAGTGCCAGTTAATACTAATACTAATTCAATGTTCACAAAAACAGAAAACGCACAGCGAAATCATTATAATTTTCATAATGTTTCAGCATCTTCTAAACTGGTAACTCCAGTACTGAAACCTGCATTTAGAAGTGGAAAAATAATATGCAAGTACATATTGTCATTACAAAATGCATTTACGTAATTCTTATTACAAAAAAAATCTGTTGTTACCAATGTCCTGTTACACAACTGTACTTATACATATTCTTTAGCTGTTGTTACACCAGTATTACGCATGTAGATACTATGCAACTATGTGTACATGTGCTGTGGTTACATGCTACTTGCACATCTAGTTATTGTGAACCAAGTTCAGAGATATAAGAGAAATGGGGTTAGTTCCAGCAAAAATGAAAACTCTGTTACATTTACTCACCCTGTATCATTAAAATCCTGTCTTCAGAATACAAATTAAGATATTTAAGATGAAATCCAGGAGCGATCTCATCCTGCATAGACAAGATGTATAAAGAGCAAAAAGGAACCCAAAACATTGACAAACGGTCCATGTGACTTCTGTGGAATCATATTAAGTTCCAAGAACACTTTTGTGCGGCAAAAATAAAAGGTTTAAAATAAATAAATATGAAATTTGTTTGCGTTTGTCTTTCTCTTCCATGACAGGTTAGGGTGCATGTTTACTATAAGCGATGTGACATATTGCCATTATAATCAGCAGTGCTACACATAATTGCCATAATACCATTTAGAAGACAAGACACTGGTGACCATCAAGTCATTTTTACAGATTTTTTAGCACAATACAGATTTTTGGAGCATCGCATAGTTACAGTTTAAGCACTGAAGTCACATGGAATGCTTTGAAATGCTTTTGGTTTCTTTTTTGGACATGTTGGGAGTGTCACTGTCTATGAAGGAGGAGAGAAAATATCTTAATTTGTGTTCTGAAGATGAATGAAGGTCTCAGGGGATTAAAACGACAACAGAAATTTCATGTCTGGCCGAACGAACTCTTTAATATAATATGGGACCCAATATTCTATTGATTTATAAAAGCTGAACGATAAATGAGACTTTTGAGGCATAGATATACACTCACCGGCCACTTTATTAGGTACGCCTCTCCAACTACTCGTTGATGCAAAATTTTTAATCAGCCAATTACATGGCAGCAACTCAATGCATTTAGGCATGTAGACATGGTCAAGACAATCTGCTGCAGTTCAAACTGAGCATCAGAATGAAGAACAAAGCTGATTTAAATGACTTTAAACATGGCATGGTTGTTGGTGTCAGACAGGCTCATCTGAATATTTCAGAAACTGCTGATATACTGGGATTTTCACACACAACCATCCCTAGGGTTTAGAGTGAATGGTCCGAAAAAGAGAGAATATTTAGTGAGCGGCAGTTCTGTGGGTGCAAAAGCTTTGTTGTTGTCAGAGGTCAAGCTGATAGAAAGGCAACAGTAACTCAAATAACCACTCGTTACAACCGAGGTATGCAGAAGAGCATCTCTGATAGCACAGCACATCCAACCTTGAGGTGGATGGGCTACAGCAGCTGAAGACCACACTGGGTGCCATTCCTGTCAGCTAAGAAAAAGAAACTGAGACAACAATTCGCATAGGATCACCAAAATTGGACAATAGAAGATTGAAAAAATGTTGCCTGGTCTGATGAGTCTCGATTTCTGCTGTCACATTCGAATGGTCGGGTCAGAATTTGGCATCAACAACATAAAAGCATGCATCCATCCTGCTTTATATCAATGGTTCAGGCTGGTGATGGTGGTGTAATGGTGTGGGGGATATTTTCTTGACACATTTTGGGCCTATTAGTACCAAGCTAAGCATTGTTGCCGACCATGTCCATCCCTTTATGACCCCAGTGTATCCATCTTCTGATGGCTACCTCCAGCAGGATAACGCGACATGTCATTAAGCACGAATCATCTCAGATTGGTTTCTTGAACATGACTATGATTTCAATGTACTAAAATGGCCTCCACAGTGACCTGATCTCAATCCAATAGAGCATCTTTGGGATGTGGTGGAACAGGGGATTCGCATCATGGATGTGCAGCCGACAAATCTGCAGCAACTGCAAGATGCTATCATGTCAATATGGAGCAAAAACTCTGAAGAATATTTCCAGTACCTTGTTGACTATGCCATGAAGGATTACAGCAGTTCTAAAGGCAAAAGGGGGTCCAACCTGGCACTAGAAAGGTGTACCTAATAAAGTGGCCAGTGAGTGTATCTGTACATTACAAACGTCATTTTTAATAATGTTACAGCATAGTGTCAGCGTATATTAGTATCCTATCCTGATTAGTTACCTATCAGTTTGGACTAAGAAACTGTGACGTCAGACATAACAAGCGCACAGTACATTCTGATAAGTTTATGCATGCACGTGTACTTACACTCTTTAATAAAGAGGTATGTTAGTGTCAGCATCACTGTGTGTCCGCTGTAAAGATAATCTCCACATAAAGCGTGAGAGCCAGTGATAGAGAGGCCGCCACCTGCCATCAATTTCATCACCCGTCGTGACTGAGCCTCCCAGTCACCAAATAGCTAGAACACAAACACATGTATAAGCAAACACAAGCACAAAAACCTCTATAGATAACCAACATTTCCTTTAATTATGAGCCAGATTGACTGAATAAGACAAATTAGCACAAGATGGCAATCTTATAAAAGTGCTGTTGTGAGTGGAAAGTTGTGCGAATGAGCGCGGATGCATCAGCTAATTTCTAAAAGCCTGCATTGACCGACATTAGGGTTTAGTTTCAGGTTTATTGTCCGTCAACACTTACCTTAGGGGAGCACTTGAAGTGCATGCCTGGCACAGGAAGCGTTGTAACATACATAGTCACACATCTGTACAAATATAAAGTTCCCACAATGAAAAAGAAGCGGCGGCCGATTATTGACCTGCAAACAGAGAGAAATCAGGTTCAGAGCCAGAGGACTATCATAGGATAAGTCACATGCTTTAAGAGTCTCAGTGCTGAAGAAAACAGTCTAGACCCTTTAGCAGTCACAACAGGAGTTCAATTAAGTTGTGATTTGACTTTTCGGAAGATGCTGCCAATAAATCAGCTGAATTAACACAAATGAGCTCTGATTAGTGAATAATACAGTATTTTCATACTTTATGAAGGATGTAGGTGACTTTAATCAGTACAACCATGTGCTGAACAATTCACATACTTATACTACGCCCTAAAAGTATGATTTTTTTATTTTTGTAAAGCCAAAATATATACTTTTGTGTGTGTAAAAGAAAAGTATGCAAGCTTTGGGACATACTGCTTCCTCATTAACAGATCATTCACATTTCTTTCATATTTAATTACCTGCATTATTGAAGCAGCAGCAGCAGGGATAATCTGCCAATTACGGGTGTCAAAACTAGTTTTTTCGGTGCACCGTGATGCAGATGGGGACAATTCGATATCCGTTCAGTAATAGATCATAACTGGTTATTACGTACTGACGTCATTTATCTCTTATATGCAATGTCGCAGTATAATACTTTGGCGAAGGAGGCGAGTAAATAAAACTCTCCTACTACTTAAAAGATAGATCATTATGCACAATTCATCTGCTTGTGAGTTTGCTGGAAAGTCTTTCATTGACACTTTTACTACTAGGGAGAAATGCTGTAAAAATCCTTCTCTGCCTCTCTCTCTCTCACTTTGAACATTTGACCCGCTGGCCTGTTTTTGGGGTAACTTTTCCCTTTACTCTTGGCTGTTAAAGTGATACTTGTGGATCCAGACACGAGCGTGCCTGAGGTGCGAGTTTTCTCCACTTTGTCTATTATGGATGAACTGTGATAACAGAGTATTATGCGCATATAGACTGTAACCGTGGCTGTTCTTCTCGGGTCATTCATCGGTGAACAGCGCTTTCATTTCTAAAGCCAAATCGCAGCCCTTTCTGTTGAGTGGGTGAGGACAATGACCAATCATAGGGGTATAAGACCTCGCTTGACAGTGATCAAAAAGCAAGCGGGATAATATTTACATTTGTTTATTTGCTATAAATGCTCATGTTGTCTTCTGTGCATGTATTGGAGTTTTGTTTGAAACATTCAAAAAGAGTTTTTTCTTTGAGGTAGGCTACAGTTCATATATCTTACTGCTTGTATTAAAGGACAAAATTGTATTACAAATAAAATTGAAATATAGATATATTTATAGTTTTTAATAAATAAAAAAAATATTGTGTTGTGAAGAAAAAAATGTAATTATGTATGGAAAGCAACGTCAATTCACCGAGATATCGAATTGAATCGAATCGATGACATGATAAATATAACCAGACCGTACCGTGAGACCAGAGTAGGTTCACACCCCAACTGCCAATCATGAGTCTTTCATTCAGAGAAATCTCCTCAGGTCTTTGGGTAATTATGCATTCAGCCTTTAATGTCAACTCCAAACATATCATGATATAAGTTGACATTGTTGTTGCAGATGAAATAAAACACTGAAACATGGTTTAAATATGTCATTCAAACAACTTTACCGAAGCCTCCCAACTTGGTGACTCCTGTCTCGAGTGTCCGCCATGTTTGTAGTTTGTTTATACTTTTCACCCACGTTTGTAGTTCTAATCAATTTCACCTTCAACGAGCAATAAATTGTGCACAATATCAGCAGTTAGGTATGGACACTTCTACACTTCGAGTTTTTGCTGGAAATAGTAAACCATCGTGGTACCTTTTGTATACAGTTTCCAACATACTATGATTTGGAACATACTAAATCTATTTTTGAATACTATTTAGGATGGATAGTTTGCGAATTGGGACGCAGCAACAGTGATTTTTTATTTATTTATTTTTTTTACCTGAAACCGTGCTTCTGATGTATATAATGCAAGTAAATGGCGATGGTGCTTTGTCAGTCAAAGAAACATAAGCAGATAAAACTAAATGAGTACTTCTGCCCCCTGACAATGAGTTATTGACAATCAAAAGATGTTTCTAGCATGGTTACCACATTAATAGTCTGAATTAGCATGTGGGTGGCACATTTCCTGAATCGGCACATAGCTACCATGGTTGCCATGCAGAAAGTTTGAGCAGTTTGCTAACATGCATGTTGTTAGCATGATAAATGAAGGTCTCAAACTGTGTAGATGTACAACAGTTTTGACACTCAATGAACATCTATATCTTTTACAAAGATCTGACCATACAATTTAAAAAAAATAAGTCTTATCAGTTAGAAAAGAAGAAAAAGCATATCGAGTCAGGACATCCTGAACCTCTGACCACAGTTTAGTGGCTGTAGCTTGAAAACTTTAGAAGGAGATTTGGTTTTAAATTTTGTCTCAGAAGAAAGCAAACTAGCTGAAATACGACTTCAGTATGTTCACTTTTGTCAAGCTAGCATTAATAATTTCTAATAAATTTATACAAAAAAGGACTGTCCCAGAATTTAAAATAAGCTTTGAAAACGAAACCTGCTGGCCTCCACTGTAAAAAAAAGTTACCTTGCAGTGAAAAAAATTAAGAATTGAGAAACACCATTTATGTAACTGACCTGTGTTTAAGCAGAAGCCACTGAGTAAACCACAGTCCCACAAGCAGCATGCCATTGATCTCGCAGATGGAGAAGGCCCACTCCACACGATCAAACAGATCAAAGAATTTATCCGGCAGAGGCGGCGTCTCCTCCTTGGGTGGAACACGTTCGTGCACCACTGAGATCATAACTGTAGTCATGAGGAAGCAGCACAGAGCGTACAGGAAAGCCACACCTGTTTTGAACCACTCGGTGGGAAACGGCGTTCGCTCCTGCTCAGACAGCGATGGGATCAAGATGCGAACCGGTTCTGAGAGCAAGCCGTTTTTTGGAGCGCCGTTGACAGTTTTGCCATTGCTAATACTACCATTGGCGAGGATGACACCAACATGACCGTTGGCCTGGTAACTGTTTTTGTGATTGTTGCCCTTGTGTGCCTTCATGTGACTAGTGAAACGCAAAGTCTCTATTCGCTCCAAAAGTTGTCGCCCACTGTCTCCGGTCACCAGGGACAGAGGCAAAGTGTTAAAGTCCTGCTCAGAGAGTTGCAGGAGGGCAGGACCATCCTTTTCCCGCAAGGCTTCAGTGTATTCCTGCATGCCTTCTTCACTCAGCCAGTCTGAGACATCACTGGCCGTCCACAGCCTCACCTCCTTCATGTTTAAATGAGAGAGAGAGTTGATGGGCCGTTTCAGGAGGTTGAGCCCACACTCAGCAATCTGGCGCTCCGACAACAGTCATAGCGTCTCTGGGACATTGGAGGAGAGTGTATGGGAGGTCCACTTTTCACCCCCTCCTCATCTCATTTTAAACTTAATAACTCCGGCAGATTGTTTTTTTGTCTTGAGGATGATGAATCCCGAAGGACAAATGTATGAACCTGAAAAATAAAAGCACGTTTAAGTTAACTAACAGATAGTGATTTGTGTGCATACACGAGCAGGCAACCTTTTCCACAGTTGCCCTATGACAGTAAAGCAGGTCGCACACCAGACCGCAAAAAAAAAAAAAAAAAAAACTCTGCGGGAGAAAAAAAATGGGTGGAAGAAAAAAAAAAAACAGAGTAATAAGAAAATATATATATATTTTTAAAAGTTTTTGCGTTCTCTCAAAGATGTTTTGCAAGGGAATGCAAAGAGGATCAGCTTCTGTACACGCCATTTAAAGTGACACCTGTTATCTGTTATCTCTGTTTCTGAGGCTTCACTGTAAGAATGCACAGATCTATAATGAAAGCATTCGATTACTTTAGTAACTTTTGGTGCTCATTTAAGAGAAAATTAGTTGTGTTCAAAATAAAACATGCAGGACGGACATATTTACATATTATTGGGTGTATTTGTCAGTTTAAACACACATGCGAATCCCAATGTGTCCTGCACTGTAGTTCCTCTTTAAATGGTGTGTACAGAAGCTGATCTGAGATCAGTTTATCATAGGAGCGCGTCCGTCAGTCAGCGCTTATACATGCATTCACCAATTCAGAGGTTGCATATGAAGGGCGATGATTGACGCACAGCTTTATTGGAAAGAAAGTGAATGCAGACATTTTAATATTAATTTCAACGTGCTTTCAAGATGAAAAATGTGGGAGAAATATTTAATGAGAAGATGATGGCAGGATGGAATGGTAAAATACAGGAAAATCCCAGCAAAATAGGGAGGGTTGACTTGTATGAACAGAAAGTGTTTAAGAAAAAACTGTTTTGCGAGACAATGCAAAACATCTTTGCAAGATAATGCAAAAATATACATAGTTGAAGTCAGAATTATTAGCCCTCCAGTTTATTTTTCCCCCAATTGCTGTTTAACGGAGATAATATTTTTTTTCAACACATTTCTAAACATAATAGTTTTAATAACTCATTTTATAACTGATTTATTTTATCTTTGCCATGATGACAGTATATAATGTTTTACTAGATATTTTCAAGACACTTTTATACAGCTTAAAGTGACATTTAAAGGCTTAACTAGGTTAATTAGGTTAACTAGGCAGGTTAGGGTAATTAGGCAAGTTATTTTATAACGATGGTTTGTTCTGTAGACTATTGAAAATAAATTGCCTAAAGGGACTAATAATTTTGTCCATAAAATGGTGTTTAAAAAATTCAAAACTGCTTTTATTCTGCTTTCTCCAGAAGAAAAAATATTATCAGACATACTGTGAAAATTTCCTTGCTCAGTTAAACATAATTTGGGAAATATTTAAAAAAAGAAAAAAAGGAGGACTAATAATTCTGTCTTCAACTGTATTCCTATAACCTTTTTTTTTTCTCCAGCCATTTTTTTTTCACCTTCACATCCCTTCTGTGTCTCTATACAAATTCCCTGACTTTGACTGGTTTTATATATACACATACAGTATATATTCTTCTCAAAATAAAGTGAAAAAGCAGTACAAATTTTTAACATTTATAATAATCAGAAATATTTTATTTTGCGGTAATCAGAAAGAATAGCAAACTGTATATTAGACCAATCATTAAAGGTTTATGATTAATACAATGATTAGTTCATAGTCTTTGTCATATTTTCACTTTTAAAATTACAAACAGTCATAATTTTACAACTTTCATATGATTTAGTTTTTATTTTTAAAGCTTGGTAGTTACATTTCTTGGAAGTTAGATTTAATTTCAGAGCTGTTCAGTTAAGTTAATGGGTGGGGAACATGGGAAATAAATGGCAGAAAAATAGAAATATAAAAATAATGTCCCGTACCAAGAAGTGGAGCAATATTTCTCATCTTTTCATAAAATCACAAACCCATAAATTGTAGCTAATCATTCAGCTGTACAAATACTGTCAATAATTTCAGTTGTGACATTGTATATGAACACAGCAAAAACAGAGAGACATTATACTGGTTACGTAACAATTACCAGACACACACACCCAAAATTTTCATAAATGCGGATTATGACTTGTGCTGCCAAGCTGTAACTTGTATGTGTAATTGTGCATACAGCGAGAGAGAGAGAGAGAGAGAGAGAGAGAGAGAGAGAGAGAGAGAGAGAGAGAGAGAGAGAGAGAGAGAGAGAGAGAGAGAGAGAGAGAGAGAGAGAGAGAGAGAGAGAGAGAGAGAGAGAGAGAGAGAGAGAGAGAGAGAGAGAGAGTGTTGAGTCAGAGACTTTTAATCTCTCTCTCTCTCTCTATGTCTGGAAGACCTTTGGTTATTAAATCAGCTTAGAAGGGAAATACACTCACACATGCACAACACAAAACCAGTCAGCATTAAGAAAGAACAACAACAACAACACGAAGTAAATAGCAACTTGGAAACGATCCCAAACATCCACAGGACATTTGTCAGATGACCAGCCAACCATTAGCTTTCTTCCTTTTAGCAGATAGAAATCTCTTAGCGCTGCTCTTAGTG